CTGGACTCAGTGCTGGGAGAGAGAAAGACAGAGGAGAGAGAGAGACTGCAACATGCACTGGTTTGTGTCCGATGCCCAGATCAGGCTGGTGCAATGCAGCTCTGGCAGAGGGAAGAGGGGGGGTGTTTGAGACCGTCTGTTAATTGCCCTTAACCTCCTCCCTCTTCCTCCCTCCCTCCCACTTTCTTTCCTTCCTTCCCTCCCTCGCTCTCTCTCTCTCCCAATGCATTTTGCAGTGGTTGCAGTAGGATCAATCGGGCAGGGAGAACAGCTGGGCTCCTTGAAACCGGCCCCAGCTCTGCCTGTGCCTCCGCCTGTCTGTCTGTGCCAGGGCTCGGGCCACTTGGCATTCAATGCCATCGCCAGTGTTTAGCGTGGCATTGGGCTGGCTCAGCGCACAGGGCTCCTAAACAGGTCACGCTCCCTTTGCAGTGACTGAGGACCAGCTCCTCCCCTACAACAACGACAATAAATTGCATTTATATAATAATAATCCTTGAATTTGATACAGCGCCTTATCACGTTGTTTGAGACATCTCAAAGCGCTTCACTGAATATATTGTAAAGTGGAGTGACTGTGTATGTTGTGGGCTAAGCACGGCAGACAGTTGTGCACAAACAGCAGGGTCCCACAGACAGTCGTGGATTGAGTGACTCAATTTTTTGGGGGAGGGATTTTTACCCCCGGAAAGCGATCCGCCAATCGACTAACAACCGGGTTCCTACTTACCGCTGGGTAAACAGAGGCGTGTGTGTGCGTGTGTGTGCGGAGTAAGGACACTTGCCTTGGGTTTTGCCCGCGAAGAGGGAATTAGATAAGACGCTGCGAAAAAGAGGAATGTTAGAAGCTATGGATGAGGTGAGTTGAGCCGCAGACCGGGAAATAGATGAGGTAAAGACACCAGGGTAGAGTTGATGGGCTGTTTCTGTGCTGCGAACAATAACAACTTGCACTTGCACGGTGCCTTTCACCCGGGGCGGCGTCTCGGAGCGCAAGTTCCGTAAATGAATTGATGAATGTAAATGCAAGTTGTTGTTGTTGCTTTTCTAAATGAGCCCCAGTGTCCTGTTCCTGGGGTATATATGTATATATATATATATGGCACCTTTAAGGCAGCTCGGATCTGCGGCTCACCTTGCAGTAAGTAGTCAGCGGTGGGTTCTAGTGTATTTAAAGTTCTGTGGGATCAGCAATTTCTGGTTGCAAATCAGAAATGCCTGTTCGGATTGGATTGTCTGAGCTGGTGACCAGCCAAGCCTGACTTGAGTTTTTTTTAAAATAAAAAAAAAACGACGAAGATATAATGCAGCATTTTTAAAAGCGCCGTCTCATTACGAGAGGGAAGCGGGTCCTGGCCAGTCAGTGCCCGCTGGCCTCGAGCCGTCTCCGTGCCAGGCTGACGGCAGCCAAAGTGCATTCAGCCACTCAGCAACAAGTCTCTGCACAGTGGGGAATCAGTGCCGCTCACTAAACTCGTTCCACCCAGGCCAGGGAGAGGAGGGAGGGGGTGGTGGTGGGGGGGGGGGGGGGAGAAAGTTCATTTAAAGGGGTAGTCGCCTTACCTGTAAATTTCCTTTCTCATCATGGGTTATAACCCGTGCGTCACACACTTCCAACCTGTGAGTTATCTTGTATGACCTACCTCTGACCGACCCACTGAGCCACTGAGGTCCATTGCTTCGCCCGCAAAACACACAGTCAATTCACTTTGCAGCATGTTCTGTGAAGCGCTTTGAGAAATCCCTCAATGACGTGATGAGGCGCTGTATCAAACGCAAGGATGATTATTATTCTAGCTCCAACCTGTGTGTTACCCTATATAGCACATAGTAACACACTGCAGTCTATGAGGACATAAGCATTTGCGAAACAAAAGAAGACCAAGGTCCAACCCAGTTCATTTTCCACCACATCCTGGCAGTTGCTTGCACACGTCATGTCCCAAACTATATACGGTATCCCAAGATACTATTCCCTAACAGAAATCTATTTAATTTGTTCTTGAAAGAGTTATCCTGCGTAATCTACTGCAGCCTTTGGTTCATTATATAACTCACGATTTTGACTCACCCTGAAGTGTCCAGATCTTCGTGGAAACCCCACACCACAAATTGTGTGGCTGTGTATATCACTGTCTAGTTACCCATGAACTGTGGTCGGTTTGAGTTCTGGCCCCAGTACAGAGGCCGAAAGGGGACAGAACTCAAACTAACCGTCCCCTCCCACTCCAAAAAAAAATTATCGATATGCAGAGACAATAGATCAGTGGTTTAATGTTTCACAGGGATTCAGTCCTAAGACTGACTCATCGTCTCAAAAGCTACGATCGCACAGAATTTGAGAGAAATTCTTAAAAATTTGGTCCTAATTTTGGGGCTGGGTCTCTGCGGTTCTTTCCGAATCGTGACCGGTTTCCAAATGTTGCTCAGGTCTTAGCGGCTCGGAACCCGATACATTTCCGGGCTTAGATTTTAGGATTTGAGTACAGTATTAGATCCACTTCGGATGTGAGCCCAGCCCTTTTCCCACATACACAGCGACGCTGCTCTCTAGTGGAAAACTTGTGGAATTCCAACTTCGTACGAGGAATTTTTCCAAGCCGAGGTCATTTTAATTCTCGTCGATAGGGCTCCAGCATCGAAAGAGACCGAGGGCGTTAAGTCGACTCAGTACTCATAACGTTCGTATAGTGTGAGGCAGCACTAATATATTATATAGTGTGAGGCAGCACTAATATATTATATTATCCGGCGCTTTTCAAATCAAACGTTCACCTCAAAGCACTTCACGGTATTTACTGTCAAGTGTAGCGACTGGGTATTTTGTAGGCAAACAAATAAACAAGGCAAACAGGCATTGGGTTACATTGCCAGATCAGTTAACTTAAACCTTTAGATGGATTTCTCAGCCTGTACAGTGCACTGATCCCTTACGTTAAGAGGAATAAACCACAACCTTTAAAATAACCAGCGTTCCCACCTTTGTAAGACACCCAAACCTGGACATATCCTTGTGTCTGGGATGCAATGCACACACTCTCTCTGAAGGGATGCAACCGGCTTATCTAAATCCAGCGAGTATTTGGCACAGGCTGGCAAGATCCAAGGCTTGGGGACACCCTAGTATATGGTTTGCGGTAACTGCTGGAATTTAACAAGCTAAACAAAAATAACATAAGAATTGCTAGACGAAAGAAAACCAAGGTTCACTCAGTTCGCCTTCTACCATCCTGACAGCGGTATGCACATGTCATATCCCAAATTATATATTGTAAAACCGCACAGCTTGCCATTGAGAACACTGTCTGGCAAGATTCCCGTTGTTTTTCCAGCGAGGAAACACCCTACTCATGAGGGTTTTGGCTTGCAAGATTATCAGGGAGTTGAGTGGGAAGATTCCCTGGCCCCAGTGTGTGGCTGGCTTGCCTCAGCAACAGTGCCTTGGAGTACTGTAGATATACCTGGTTGGCAAGTGAGACAATCTACAGGCCATTAAACACCCAACAACAAATTACATTTATGCAGCACCTTTCACGTCAGGAGGACGTCCCAAGTCGCGGGACAGTCAGGGATTTGGACCCAAGCAAGGGGTTGGGATCAGGAGGGCAGGGAGAGTAGGGGTAGGATTGTGACCAAAGACGCAGAGGAGGGTCTTGAGACGTACCTTGAAGGATACAAGGGAGGGAGAGACGAGAAAGGAGTGTAGGATGAAGTTCCAAAATATGGGGGCGGAAGACTGCACCCACCCATCTTCTCTCCAACTCTTTCCCGCCTTTGTCGTGTCCTGGTTCTGCACTCCAGGCTTTGACCCTGCAACTTGGTTCCTCAATGAGAAGTTCATCTCGATGAGTTTTTTTCAGAGGATTAAAAGGGCGTAAACGACGAGCGAAAGGAGGTTCCGGCAACATCATTTATTAGTTCACACCTGAGACAATGGCACCTTCCAACAACAAAAGGCACATCATTCATTTACATAAGTATAATACTGTATTTACACTATCGACACTACGTACAGGAATTTATATGCAAGGATCGGTGCGAGGAGGCAGCCCTCATAACCTACCCCCGACTCCGGGCTGCCCTCAATCCCCCCCCCCCAACCGTAGCACCACAGGTCAGTATTTTGTCCGTGGAGTTGAAGGGGCACTGCCCTGTAAAAAGGGGCACTGTACAGGAATTGTAGTGTGTGAAGCCTCCTGATAGCACAGTGGAGAAGCCATGGCTTTGCCTAAAAGATAAATTAAAAAGGTTAAAATGCTGAACAGGTTAAACCAGAATCACTGTTGCCCAAAGCAGCTGGGTTTCTTTCATTCCGAGCGTTGAAATGTTAAGCGGAGCAGACTCTAGGCCAGGAGATGGGAGAGGAGAGGAGAGAAAGTCCTTTATCTTGAAGGTGATTGATTCACACATATGGAGCACAACTAGGAGCCAAGAGTGTCAAATAAATGGCTGAGAATCTTAACACTGAATAAATGGAAAGAAGGATTTCAGCCATGGGCTGTGTCACTGACTGAAACATGCAGCGTAAACACTGTTGGGAGATTTTGTTAAAAATATGTAATATACGCTATATATGTTTATGTATAATCTTTGCGCAGAAGGTTTCTGTACATCAACCAGTCATGGGGATGGCAAGAGGCGAGCCATGGCTTCCATATCTGCTCAACTGATTCACTGCAAACCAATCTCTAGGGGAATTTAGTGCAAACTTTGTCCCCAACTCCCAAAGCTGATTGACAGTCGATCGACATAGCGTTCAGTTCAAGGCTTCTGCTTAGAGACGGTTCCTCTTGGCCACTGCTCTACAAAGATAAGACAATTTGTTCCAGTCTGGATCTCACTTGGGGCCCATTAATTCAAACCCACGTGTGTTACCTGTGCACAAAGTCCACGTTGAATAGCCTGCTTGAACTCTACATCATCTCACGCCACTCAGCATCATAAAAATAACAACAACTTGTATTTATATAGCGCCCCTGACACAGGGTAGTGTCCCACAGCGCTTGACAGTGGCGGAGCATGACTTCAAGCCGGGGGGGAGAGGGTGGAAAACATCTTCAGGTGAGACCTGAAAACCTGGATCCCATTGCCCCCCCCCACCCCACCACCACCAACACTGTCATATGTTCTTTTCGCCAATAGGTTCCAATAGGTTCACCGCTGATTGTAGCTTAGTCTCAACCCAAAGTGGTCCCTCGAATTTGGGGTGGGAGTGGGGTTTATTGGGAAGAGAGAGAAAGAGAGAGGAGAGTGGAGGCTGAGATCCTAAAAAGTTCTTCCATGTCTCAAGTGGCCTCAGCACAACGTGGGCAGTGTGGCGTTCAGTGGCAGATCAGTCTCTGACTTGCTGAGGTTCCTGGGGCAGGGTTCCATGGTGACAGCCACTCCCATACCACTCCGTGCCGACAGCATGTTCTCTACCTCAGTCCATTGGTCACTCTCGGGATCGTAGCACTCCACACTCTTGAGGAACTCTTGGCTGAAGCCTCCTGTGGGGTTTGGGGGGGAATAAAGGGAATTCAATTCCAACAATATGGTTCACAAACCTCCATTTCAGCCAAAAACCTTCCTACTTTCTCCCCTGAGCAGAACCACCCCCCCACCCCCCACCGCCCCGCGAGACGTCCTCGCCCCGAGTGACCATTCATCAGCAATGGAGGGGAGTGAGATGGAGTGGGAAGGGGTTGGATCCATTGGAATTGTATCCAATGGGATGGAATGAACACAGGAACAGGAAGAGGCCATTCAGCCCCTCAAGTCTATTTTGCCATTCTATTAGATCGTTGCTGATCTGTACCTGAACCCCAATAATCCACCCTTTGCCCCGTATTCCTAACAAAAATCTGTCCACCTCAGTCTTGCAAATTTGAATGTTTCCAGCATCCTCAGCCTTTTGGGGGAGGAGGGAGGGAGGGAGGGAGTGAGAGAGAGAGGGGGGGAGTTCCAGATTTCCACTCCCTTTTGTGTGAAAAAAAGCTTCCTGATTTCACTCCCAAATGGCCTCGGTCCAATTTTAAGATTGCGCCTCCTTGTTCTGCTACTCAATGAGATGGATTTAGTGAATGAAAGGTTAAGTAAATGTACCCTGATGGTTACTACAGTATAAGCAGAGACGCTGAATATCCGTCAGCCCCAGAATCCTGTGAGGATGTCCTCCAGACGCGAAAGGCACTGTATCGAATGTAAGAATCATTATCGTTACCCGCGGTGAACGAACAGAGGCCTTACCCAGTGCGTAGATCTTTCCGTGGTACATCGTTACTCCCAGTGCGCTCCGGCTGTGTTTCAAAGGCGCGACACTCTCCCACTGATCCCTCTCGATACTGTAACGCTCCACAGTCTGCAGCTGGTTCGTGCCGTCAAAGCCGCCAACCACATAGATGTAATTGTCCAGAGAAGCAACACCTGAGGGGAGGAAAGCCGAGGAGAGGGTCCGTGGGAAATAGTAACGTAATGTGTTCATTTCTCGGCTTGTTCCCCCAATAAAGCCCCCCATGACATCTCAAACTGACCCCAGCAACACCCTCTTTAACCCTAACTCAGCTCCCTTTGTTTACACACCCCGTCCCTGTCTCCCATCCTAAATTGGCTGCCGCGTTTCCCCCACAAAACATACAGTCACTCCACTTTACAATAAGCGGGCTTTGCGATGTCTCAACAACGTGATAGGGCAATGTATCAAATGCAAGTATTATTATTACAGTAAACCTCACATAAGTCGTATCAGTCGGGACCAAACGTTGAATATGATTTACCCAAAGTATGAGTTACCTGAAACTTATATATAATAGAAAATTCAACGGGTCTTGGGCAGGTGTACAAGTTAGGAGATGTTACGATTTATACAGATCAGACTTAAGCAAGTTTGAGTGTGTTATTATAATATAATTCTTATTATTACATACACCAGGCTCTGTTCAGGCTCCCAGGCCTTTATACCCTCTGCCCCTCACCCCCAATTTCTCACAAGAACAAAGTGGAAAGTGTATAACCTGCCCCACTGCGAACACTGCCCATCGGAGCCACAAAGTGCCACTTGTCTGTCTCAGGGTGATAGCACTCCACTGTCTGCCAGCGGTTCTCCCCGTCAAATCCCCCGATGACGTACAGAAGACCGTCCCATACGGCCACTCCAGCGCCAATCCGGCTCACCGCCATAGGTGCCACGAACGTCCAACAGTTGGTCTCGGGGTCGTATCTACGAGCAAAGAAGGACAAGACCGTAAACTCAACGGAGTTGTGGTTCCAGTGAATGCTTTCCAGGTTGCTGTTTGCAGACGCTCCCTTAACTTGGAAAGTATACAGTTTATTTAGTTTCTGATTAAATATACTTCCAAGGTCAGGGTTAGTCGATCCCTGGATCGCTTTGTGGGGTTAATAATCCCATCAAAAAGAAAAATGCGGTCACTCAAGCCACGACTGTATGTGGGATGCTGCGGTGTGCAACTGGCTGCCGCGTTTCACCCGCAAAATACACAGTCACTCCACTTTACGGTGTATCCTGTGAAGCGCTTTGAGACGTCTGAACAAAACGCAAGGCGCTGTATCAAATGCAAGGAATATTACTCAGGACTCCTTCGCAGTCACTTACTTCTCAACTGTCCTGTGGTGGGAGGAACCATGAGACCCTCCCACAGCGTAGATGATGCTGTCGATTACCCCGACGCCCACCCGGTTCCTGGGCACGTTCATGGGACTTCGCTGGGTCCAGCGGTTGGTCATGGGGTTGTAGCAATCCAGGGCGTCTGAGTCGACATTGAGATGCTTGGAATTATTCCTGCCGCCCATGGCGTAGAACAGCCCGAAGACCACACAGGAGCCTAACCCACTCCTGGGCTCAGGGAGGTCGGCCAGTTTGATCCACTGGCTTGTCCGGGGGCTGAAGGCTTCCATCCACCTCAGAGAGTTGTGCAGGTACCCCCCTGCCACATAGATCAACTGATTCCCCCGCAGCTTAGTGGGGGGTAGAGGTTTGTTCAGCGCCATCTCCTGGAAGATCCTGGCCAGGAAGTCACGGCAGGTGTTGGACTTGTTGACGATCGGACACTCCTGCAGCTGGAGCTTGAGGAACCTCGGGGGCAAAGCGTAGATCTGCACCGCGTTTAGGAGAGCGTGGAAGTACTGGTCGCGGCTGGCCAGATCCCAGCGCACCCACTCCGTGCAGGCTTTGTATACTTCGGACTCGCACAGGACATTGAGGCTGTCCTGGCTGACGAGATCCAGGAGTTGGCAGTGGGTCAAGTTGAAGAACTCATTCTCTTTGGTGACCTGCAAGGAATGAGCGGAGAGGAGAGGTGAAGCTCGCCAGACAGTGTTCTCAATGGCAACAACAACTTGTATTTATATACAATATGGCCTTCACAAGGGAGGGAGAGGGAGAGGGAGAGGGGGGAGACTTACCTCATTGAAGTGCATGCTGATGTATTCCTTCCCCCTCTGGTGCAGCTCAGTGCAGCCGATCTGTTCGGCGAAGTTGGAGATGCCAATGGCGTTGCTGGAGTTCAGGTTCCTGACGAGGAAATCGCAGCAAGCCTTGACCACCTCCTCCACCTGGTACATCATACTGGCCAGCAACACGTGGAGCACGGCGGGCTCGCTCACAGAGATCCTCGCCGTGTAGGCAAACTCGATCAGCCTCTCCATCACCCTGGGGCAGACTCCCTCCACCTTGACCTCGGCCAAGTGCCGCTCGCGCAGGTTACTAGTGAACATGGCCTTGAAGACGGGGCTGCAGGATGCCAGGACCACCCTGTGAGCCAGGAAGCTTTGCTCCTTGCCCTCGTGGGTCACTCGGAGAGTCACGTCACACAACTGCTTATTGTTCCTCAGTTCCCGCATGACCTACAACAACAAACAACAAACGTTACATTTCTATAGGGCCTTTCACGTCAGGAACCCAATGGAAATAACCCTTGCATTGGATGTTATTATCACGTCTTCGAGACATTTCAAAGCCACAGTGCAAGCAAGCATTGCAGTGAAGTACAGTACGCCAGTGTGACATTCTCTGTTAGGAACATTCTACCCTTTAGACCTTTGGCTCACACAGCTGAGAAAGTGTGTGCGCCTTCCAAGACTTGATAAGGCGCTAAACAAATACAATAATCCTTGCATTTGATACAGCGCCTCATCACGTCTTCGAGGCGTCTCAAAGCGCTTTACTCTAAAGCGAATTGAGTGTATATTTTGTGGGCGAAACGTGGCAGCCGATTGCACACAGCAGTGTCCCACAAACAGCCGTGGATTGAGTGACCAAGTTATTATTATTTTTATTTATTTTGAAGGGATTATTACCCCCGGGACAAGCGATCCACCGATCGACTATCAGCCGGATCCCTACTGAGGAACGAGGGGAAAAGGAGTAAGGAAACTCGGCAAACGGGAATCGAACCCGGGTCCTCTCGCTTGCGAGGCGAGCGGGCTAACTCTAACCGATACGCTACAGGACTCCACAAGTAATTTCAACTCGGGACACAATGCTTCAGATGAACCAGAGAGAAGTTAACATTAACCTACGCAATTAAGAAAAAAAAATACGAAACAAGCAACAAATCGACAGAGATCACTTCACCTCCAGCGCCTGGGAAGGGTGACCCTGGACAGTGCAATCCAGGTGTCTGCATCCGCTCAGCGCTGGCACGTCGATGGTGGGAGGGTTACACGAGGCATTGGGTCGTCCCCTCTTGGAACACAGCATGGTCAGGCTTCAACTCTGCTCCCGTGATGGCTTGGAATTCGGAATTGGGTTTGGCTTGGAATTCTTGCCGCTGAGCAGTTTCGGGTCATGATTCCCCCTCGTTGTGAACAAAGCACCTCGCGAAGAGGTTTCGCGCGGAAAAAAAAAACCTGGAAGTCGTATTCCCACACAACGTCTCTTGTTTTCAGGGCTTTAAGGATTCCTTCCCACCTCTCTCTCTCCTTCGCTCCCCTGGCTCGCAGCCCCTCGTGACTTGCGGCTCTTCTCTTGTCGAAGGCCTGGAGAACCTTTCACAAAAAGACAACTTGTTTTACCCCAGTGGCTGGGACACTGTTTCCGACTGAACGATGGACTGTTTGGTTGCGGAGGAGAGGAATCGTCGTGGATCGACAGGCCTACGAGCGGCGACCGAGCGAAGCTGATTTCTCCGAGTCATCGGACGCTTCTCTCATCTCAGCCACGGATTCTCTCGGTCGCTGGGCAAACCGTTTGTTCGGATCCCAATCCAATTAACCCTCGGCAGGGAGCGGAAGCTGGAGAGGGAAGAGAGGATGTTAGGGATCACGTTGCGCCCACAAAATACACAGTCACTACGCTTTACGGTATGTCCTGCGAAGCGCTTTGAGACGTCTCAACGACGTGATAAGGCGCTGTATCAAATGCAAGGATTATTATTATTATCATCAATAGTGCATTAACAAAAGGCTCCTCAAGTCTGCACCATCCCATCTCCCTCAGAATAGACACAGTCCTCAAGAAAGTCATACAGTGCTTAGTGTAGTGCACACACACACACACACTCACACACACACAGAGTGTTCGTAAATTTAATATCTCGCTCGTATACCTGAGCTATGCACCGACCTGCGCTATTCAGTTTACTTCTGCGGTCGGTCGGGTATCCGACACACAGAGAAACCCATCGTCACGCTTAACAGAGTCTCAAAATCAGACTACCAAGAGTTCCACGTAGGCGAGGAGATCTCCCTGTGTCTGGAGTGGAACTAACACTCTGGCGCCCCCTCCCCAACACCCACCCACCCCCCCCCCCCCCACCCACACCACCCCAGAGAGACTTGCCCCGCTCACCTTACCCCGGAATGTTTTGTGCCCGGGGCAGGGGGTGGTGGTAGGGGTGGGAGGGAGGGTACGCCTCACTGAAGGAGCGCTCGACACAACAGACGGCTTCACCCACCGCAGACTGGAGCACAACCTCATTAACAGCACATCTAGCGTTAGGTTTCTCTGCAAACCGCTTTTCTTAGCTGCTAGATTGCCCACATTAGGTGATCGGTCGATGGAGGCCCAGGCAGTTTAATGGATGCAGTCTGCACAGAGACAACGGGTTAAATGCGCATCTTTCCCGGTCTTCAGGCTGTGCGAACGCAAGTCTTCGGGAGGAAAAGGCTTTTAAGTTTTGTGCTGGGTCATCGTACTGTTCTTCCACTCCGCTTTTCACCTTCTATGACAGATCGGGTCACGTGAGGGCAAAACTGAAAGAGGATCTCTTGTGATTAGTCACTGTGTAACAGCTCCATCGCTGAGGGAGGAATTAACTCCTTAAAGCCCGGAAAAACATTATTTCGGAAAAACTGGTTAGTTACGGGAGTAAACAGGACACTTGCACAATCACACCCTTTGAATAAATACTTCTACAGTCAGGAAATTTGATCCAGTGCCAGTAATAATATTACTAATCCTCGCATTCGATACAGCGCCTTGAGACGTCATTGAGACGTCTCAAAGCGCTTCACAGAATATATTGTAAGGTGGAGAGACTGGGTATTTTGCGGGCAAAACGTGACAGCCAATTGCGCACAGCAGTGTTCCACAAACAGTCTTGGATTGAGTGATTGGATTGGGTTTAATAGGGGTTATTATTCCCGGAAAGCGATCCATCAAGAGACTAACAACTGGGTTCCTACCTGCTAGGTGAACCGAGGCGAGTGGAGTAAGGAAACTTGCCTAAGAATCTTCTCGCTTGTGAGGCGAGCGCTTTAACCACTACTCTCCGATGTCAAGACGTCTCCAAGCACATCACAGGCAATTGCTGTCAAATGTAGTGACAGGCAAACACGGCAGCCAATTTGCGCTCAGCAAATTCCCACAAACAGCCATGAGGTGAGCAACGAATTTATCTGCAGGGTTGTCAGGAGGGGCAAAGACTGGGTGCAAATGCTTCTGAAGGGGGTCAACAAATGCCCCTCCCTGCCATCTTGTTGCCCGCCCAACAATCACTTCACTCCTTTTTTGGTTCCGTCTTGAAATGACCCCAAATGACTATGCTGTTTGATCGCCAAGCGAAAGAGAAAAATAGGTTCCCACATTGGGTGTAGCCCTTCATCCCGATAGAGAATGACACCCAGAACATTAACCCATTACTCATAGACCAACTCATCTACATATTTCCAGCATCGGCAGTCACCACACCCCCCCTCGTGCACACACATACACACACACACAACAGCTCGTCTTTACTGTACGTGTTTGCACCGATCATTGCAGTCTCTGGTAACTCAATATAACAACAACAATAATCCTTGCATTTGATATAACGCCTTATTGTGTCGTTGAGACATCTCAAAGTGCTTCACAGGGTATATTGTAAAGTGGGGTGACTGTGTACTTTGTAGGCAAAACATGTTTTTTTTGAAGGGAATATTACCCCCGGACATCAATCTGCCAATTGAGTAACGACCGGGTTCCTAACTACTGCTAGGCAAAACAGAGGAGTGTGGAGTAAGGAAACGTGTCTAAGGTTTTGCCCAACCCGGGATAAAATGCCTTGATCCACTAGATCAGGGTGGTCCAACTGGCGACCCGCAGGCCGTGTCTGGCCTTCCCCCCTTCCCTCCATTTCCTCTGGCCCACCCGCTCACTGTATAACCCATGAAAGTTGTGTTACGTCAGGCTGTGACGGACCTCACAAACACACACTGTTCTCTGACCGAGGTTTTCGCCCTTGGCTTGTGAGATGCAGATTATGGATTCTGCGCATGAGTGACACACAGCTCAGTAACAGGCAAACCCACCAGCAGTGCCCAGCAGTCGTGCTCTCTCAATGGATATCATTGTTCTTCATTATTAATCAATGCTCTGAATATCCACACCCTGCCACTTAGAAGGAAGATGCTCTATCTCACAACTGAGTGCAAGCCCGGAATTACTCCAGAGTTGAGATTTCTTGAGTAAAAGTCAGACAACGAGGTTCTCTGAGAAAGGGCGACTGACATCTCTGGGTCAGAAGATTGCGGCTTCATCTCTGCCTGTTCAGGTGGACATTCAAGATCATCCACACGGATCCCACGGCACTACTCGAAAAGAGAAGGGAATTTCTTTCTCCGGGTGTCCTAGTCAACAAATCCCCTAAATAAAATATTGGTTACTCATTCTGTTTGTGGGACACTCTACTTTACAGTATCTCCTGTGAAGCACTTTGAGATGACTGAATGACATGATAAGGTGCTTTATTAAATGCAAGGATTATTATTATTATAATTATAATACACACCTTATGTCAAGACTTTGTGAGTTCACAGTCGAGGCTGGGTAAATGGAAGCAACAATATGGAGTAGAACATGTGGAGCTGTGTGCAAGTAAACACAGTCTTCCAAAAGCATAGCACGGTCCCAATCTCAGTTACACAGTAACTCCGCAGACTCTAATTAAGAAGGCTTTTTAATTAAGCAGACACTTTAATGAATGGACTCTGATGGAGAAGGTACTTTTGTCACCAGCTGAATAATTCATGAAGGAAAAAAAAATGAATGGGGAGCTTAATTTATTGGACAGTTAATTATGGGTGAGGTGGGAAGGAAGGTAATTAATTCAGCTGTTAAACTGTTGAGATGTGAGCCAGTTAAGAGGCCTGTCGATTAGTGCAAGAGGAATTGGTGCATTTACTGAGGATCTTAAGGTGCGGAGAGGAGTGGGTCGGGGGTCTTTACTGTTTTGGAACTGGAAGAGTTGCGGGAAATTAATTAATTTAATTAATAAATAATCTGAAGCCCGAGATAAACGGGTTTTACTGAGAGGATGTGTTGGGAAGGTGGGTGGGCAAGGGTGGAAGCAAAATGGCACCAATCTTAACAGTGAACTGGGTTAAGTCAGGGAATGGGGATCAGGGGAGACACTTGAACGAATGAAAGGAGGGAGAGTGAGCTCATTGTGAGGAGCAGAAATTGGTCATTGGAAGTGGGTACTCGCTGGAACCAGACAGGATGGGTGGTTTGGGTGAGACCGGGCACCAGGTGCCAGCTTTTACACTGTGCCCAGCCCCTTGGCAGAAACAGTACCTGGGACATGGTATAATATAAGAGGGAGAGACTGGTACGTGAGAACCGAGTCTGAGAAAAGGTGGGGCTCCCAGCGAGCGCTCCGTGGAAAAACTCCCTGAGGGTGTCGTAGAGCAAAGAGAGCAACAGCCCACCCCACTGAGTTCCTTCCAAAATATCCCCCCCTCCCATCTTCCTTTCGCATAACCATGCGCCTTACATTCCAAGCACATTAAGTGCCCCACATCTGTGTAGCCCCCCCGCCCCCAACCACCACACTGTAATCTGCACAGATCCCATCTGCGCTGGAAGCTACTGCTAATAATATAATATCTTGCAGAGGAAGCAAATGGGAGAAGAAAATCGTGAATGGTCATCTTCCAAGAGAAACGAAAGAACAAGGCTGAGATGTGAACCCGAGCCTCAGCTGGTTGACGAATGTGAGCAGAGAGCCCAAACAGAAGCTCTAATAATATTCAGCGCAAGACCAAGCGATTACTACCCAATATTATGAAAATAAGGTCTCAAAGAGAAACATTGATCAAAAATGCCAAATATGTCAACAAACACCAGAAACCAGAGCGATCTGCCATCACGTCATCAATCCTCGCGCAATCAGAATATCTGATACCGCATAAGATTGTAGCTGAATATACTCACTGGACTATTCGTAAACACTTAAGATATTGACGTAAAGGCTAACTGGTGTGAACGAAAGCAACACTGAAAAATAACATCACAATAATCTGGGTCTGGCAAGTCAGATAGGACAGTAATCGGGAACAAACCAGATGTTATCACAAAACAACCAGACTGTATATGTGGTTGTACCTGATGCGGTTACAATGTAAGAAATAAGGAAATAAGAGATCAGGAAACGTATTGATATTATAAATTGAATGCGCATCTAATGTGGCAATATAAAACAAACATAGTTCCGATAATGGTCAGTGCGACTGGGACTGTTATTGTTAATAAGATAGTACAGAAGTGACTTGACAAAAATAACCTCGGGAGCAAAACGTAGCTGTTTTAGGAAGTTCCAACCTACTAAAGAAAAGTAACATTCATTCATAAGTAACGTGGCAGTGGTATTGCTTTAACGGATCGACCACTGAAAACCACTTAGAAACTATTTCTTAAATATTTAAGATAACGTTTACATAAGCTGTAATAACATAATGTATCAGGCAGAGGGGCAATCAGAATAGGGGACTACAACTGACTTAGATTCCTCTCCCCCCACCCACCCCCCATCCCCAATATTATTTTGAAATGTTTTGGGAGATATTCATCTTACACAAAAAATACCCTCACACACATAATCCCCCCCACCCACATATATATATATATAGAGAGAGAGAGAGAGAGTTACAAGCAGTAAAGGGAATGGCTATCAGAGCACCACACAGACTGCAACAACAACAGCAACAACAACCCCCTCCCACCCCCCACATGATCCCAATAACACACCACATCCACAACAGCTCATGTGCCAAAGTGAGTGAGGCTCTGGGAGAGGTGAAGTGGAACAGCAGTCACACAAAATAACCCCCACAAAACCCCCCCAAGTCGAAGCATGCAAGTTGTTGGCTTACTGAGTGTGTCCCCAGTCGGGGCAGCAGGTCCTGTGATGGCTTTGGGCAGGAATAGGATGTGTCCAGGACAGCAGTGTGAGTGTGTAGGGTCTGCCTGACTGTGGTGGTGTGTGATGGGCTGTACTGTCTGTCAAGCTCTGTGCTGGGGGGTGGCTCTGTGCTCTGTGCTGGGGGTGGCTCTGTGCTGGGGTGGCTCTGTGCTGGGGTGGCTCTGTGCTCTGTGCTGGGGTGGCTCTGTGCTGGGGTGGCTCTGTGCTGGGGGTGGCTCTGTGCTCTGTGCTGGGGGTGGCTCTGTGCTGGGGTGGCTCTGTGCTGGGGGTGGCTCTGTGCTCTGTGCTGGGGGTGGCTCTGTGCTGGGGGTGGCTCTGTGCTGGGGTGGCTCTGTGCTCTGTGCTGGGGGTGGCTGTGTGCTGGGGTGGCTCTGTGCTGGGGGTGGCTCTGTGCTGGGGTGGCTCTGTGCTCTGTGCTGGGGGTGGCTGTGTGCTGGGGTGGCTCTGTGCTCTGTGCTGGGGTGGCTGTGTGCTGGGGTGGCTCTGTGCTCTGTGCTGGGGGTGGCTCTGTGCTCTGTGCTGGGGTGGCTCTGTGCTCTGTGCTGGGGGTGGCTCTGTGCTGGGGTGGCTCTGTGCTCTGTGCTGGGGGTGGCTGTGTGCTGGGGGTGGCTCTGTGCTGGGGGTGGCTGTGTGCTCTGTGCTGGGGGTGGCTCTGTGCTCTGTGCTGGGGGTGGCTCTGTGCTGTGTGTTTGGCTGTACACTGGTTGCCCTGTGTGCTGTGCTGTGTGCTGTGTTGTGCACTGTGCTGCCTGTGTGTGTGTGTGTGTTTGCCTGTGTATTTTCTGCCTGTGTGCTATGCACAGTGTGTGCAGTGCCTTCCTGCCTGTGTGTTGTGCTGTGGCTGTGACCCTGTGCTGTGCTGATGCAGCTCAGGAAGGGGTTCTGACCCCAAACCAATCAGCAGTTGCTGAGAATGGGGCCAAATTCCTACAGCCTCTCCCCCCCCAACCCTGTGTGTGTTGTGTGTGTGTTGTGTGTGTGCCAGAGGGACAGTTTGCCACTCATCACCGTGACTCTGCACTTTCCTGCCTCCAGAGTGAGTGACAGCTCTGACTCTGTGAGCCTTTTGAGGAGGAACCTGTCTAACAGGCGAGGCAGCCCCAACACCGAGTCACACCGAGTCACACTGGACCGTGTGTAACGAGGGGGTGTCGGGGGGGGGGGGGGGGGAATGTAATATAGGAGAGGGGGAAAAGGGGAATTAACCCCATCGCTGCCAGCGCCGTTCTTAAGTCGAATGCTTAAGTCCCGGTTGCAATCTTCGCAGCTCTTACTAGTTTCGCTCGCAAGACACGCAGCCAATTCACTTTACAGCGTCTTCCGTGAAGCGCTTTGAGACGTCTCGAAGACCTGATAGGGCGCCGTGTCAACGCAAGGATCGTTGCTGTTACGATGGAGTTTGCTTTCCGTGCGCTCCTGCAGATATCCTCCTCAAATTCCTCTCTGGAAATTCCGCAGTGACCTTCCCGCTGGTGGCCCGATAAGGCAAAGATTTCGACCCCCTTCTTCTACCCCACCTCCCCACCCCCAATTTGCCCAGTCTCAAATCCCATTGCGATTTATAGTTTTATCCACTTTTCTCCCCTAATCTTCCCTACGATGTCCCAACTCGTGCTCATTCCAAGTGTCATTTCACCCACACAATATAGTGTAAAGTGCTTTGAGACGTCTTATAAGACCCTGTATCAAATGCAAGTATTATTATTACTTTTGGACACCCAAAGGGCAACAATTGGTGCTTTGCCTGGCTTAGAATGCCCTCCAACCCCCTCCTTCGCATTCCCCTCCACCACCCCCTCCCCCCACACACACACACCCCCAAACACAGAGAAGGAAAAGCATAATCTTTTTACGCCACAAATCAAGAAATACCCAATCAAGAAAAAAGCTGAAAGCAACAACAAGAAGATTTTATTTATAGAGCGCCTTTCACGTCGGGAGGACGTCCCAAGGCGCTGAACAGTTGGGTCGGGACCCGAGCAGGGGGGAAATAGTCAGGGCGAGGGGAGGGAAGGGAGGGAGCGAGGAGGGGGTAGAGAGTCGAGAGGGGAGCTGAGGGCACGGTTGAAGCACCCTACTGATTGAACACGGACTTACCTAAAGTCATGTGAATGTTCGGGGGTGGGGTAGAGGGGTTTGGGGGCTGCTTCTTGACGGCCCCCATGGGCTGCTTCCGGCCCACGGGCCACATGTTGACCAGCACTAAGCTAGAGGATTATGGCCAGTTTCTCCTTGCAGCTAACATTAGCCAAACACAGTCATTCCATCAGATTTATTTTATTTTATCAGCTTACATTTCGAAAATCCTGAACAGGAAATGCAACAACATTTAAAGACCAAAAAAACAAGGAAACTAAAAGCAACTAAAAGCTGTTCGCTTAGGGTAAAGGAAGTTCTTGTGTGGTGGATAGGAAGTGAATAGAGAGGCTGATAAACATTGAGTCACCGTAGCCACCAAAAGTTGTAGGTTTCTTGATTTTCTCCTTAGCAAAAGCAATAAACTTACCTTTTGGCTCCATCGCTCTCTCCCATATTCCCCTTCTCAGCCCCAAACTTTAAGATATGACTTATCTACCTCAACATCTTACCTAATGTCCCTAACCCTTCCCACCCATGAACCTGCCACACACACACACACACACACATAAACATATATATATAAAGATCTTATCACTCCCATTATAATTTATTACAGATGTGAAGGTTCAACATGATATTCCAGGGTCTGGCAACACTTACATTCAGTTTCCGACCCCGTCCATTCACGTATACACCCACCCATCCCCTCATCCCCTCACCCAATCCATCTGCACTCCAGATGGAGCCCAAAGGTCAAATGAACATCTGATTTACTCGCAAATCAAAGATTTCCAGAAATCTTCCAATCCGCCCATTGAAATTCCTTGCTCCATGGCAACATGGCTAAGATTCACACAAAAAAAACCTGTCACCCAGTCCAACACACTTTACCGTAAACCCTGCAAAACACTTTGGGACGTCCTCCCAACACATGAGGTGCTATACCAAAATGTAAGGATTCTTCTTATTTATTATTCAAGGTGTGACCTTGGCTGATCTGTGCAGCTATGTAAGGACAACAACAATTTGCATTTATATAGCGTCCCTCAGCCAGCGTATGTCCCAGAGGGCTTAAGACTCATGAAACTCCCCCCTCCCCACGGCTCCCACGACATACACACACACATCTCATCCTTGGTTCAGTTGTAATTGACACGTTAAGAGCGAAGTGAATGAAACATGCAGGAACTGACTACAAAGCTTCCCCCTCCCACCCCTAACCCCAACACCCCTTCCCCCCACCACCCCTTCCCCCCCCCCACCACCCCCACTCCCCACTCGCGCACTGTTCGATAACACAGTTAGAATAAATAAAGCGATGAACTAATATGGGACTATACTATAATGCTACGGAATTGATTTTCCTATTCCCTTTCCCATTAGATCCCACTCTAGTGGCTTTCATTCCCATTTCTGGAGGTTGCAATTAACCAGAGAGATCTTTGTCCGACCCCCTCCCTCACCACCACATGATCACAGAAAAAAGCATCTCAGTGAGGGAATCCTGTTGGACAAAAGATTGGGGCCAAATCATTTACAACCATGTTATATATCGATCTATATATACACACACACACACATATATATATATTAGAAACAAATCAGAAAATAGGAACCCATTCCAAAACATTTCTAGGATTCTAAATTACTCATTTGGAATTTGAGAATCTTGTTAGATTTTAATGGCATTTTCATTGGATCCTAAATAAATCTTAAGAGAACTGAATTCAAACTCATTAAGAACTCTATTCCGAGGGTGGGATTGGGGGTGGGGGAGGTGGGTGGGGGGGGTCGATAAATGCAGACACCATCACACCTTCCTCCCTCCACCACCCTCCTCCCCTCTCTGGAATATTTCATTTCGGGGGAAGATTATTAGGTTGATTTTTATTCTCAAATTTTGCAAACGTGCTGGAGCAAAGAGGGAAAAACTGTCTCTCTTGTTTTGGGGAGACACAACGTTCTAGATGAGAGTTTTATTCAGGTCGACTTTCATGGGCAGAGGTCCCGCATCCTCGCTGTCCATGTCTCCGACTCTCACAGCGAGGACTGGGGCCAGAGTGTAGGAAGTGCCTTTAGTCACGCTATCCAGGTAATCTTCATCTCCATTGATGCTCAGCTGGTGGGATTCAAGCGTGAAAGAGAATGAGCAATGGTTAGTTACACTATTCAGGGGAACGGGTAACAACACAAAGGGGGGTGGGGGGGTGTCTTTGTAATACATGCTGAGAGGTGTTTTTTTCTCAGCCTATTGTGTAGGATGGAGTCCCAATAAACTAGACGTCTACTGAATGTAAGTGGTCAAAATAGAACTTTTCCATTTTGCACACCAGGTGTCAGCATCCAGCTCTCCCAGGTCATGTCCGGCACAGCTTAGGTACAAAGTGAAGCTGCCTTTATATTCGCTGTTAACCAGACAAGGCTCAACACATCAACGATATCTCAACAAATTGATGAAGAGTGGTAAAATGGGTCATTAAGCCCAACTAGTCCATGCCGGTATTTATGCTCCACACGAGATTCCACCCCTCCTATTCCCCTCTCCTAAACGCCTCTGTTCCCTTCTCCCTTGTGTAGACATCAAATTTCCTCTTGCATACATTGATGCTTTTTGCTTCAGTGCTTCAAGGAATTGGACGGCTTTTGTATTCTGCTCTGAGTTACGCTTTAGAGCGAGAGCATCCTTGTGCAAACATCACAGGCTTTCGAACCCGTGTTAATGCAACCGTACGGGTCACATTTCTAGAGCTCTGAATACACAGCTACGTGGGGATCCAGAAAGGAAACAATCACCAGGTTACTACCTGCCATCTCTGCTCCTCACCTGTGACTTGACATGTTGATCTTGGGCTGTCACTAAACTAGCGCAACTGAGCCACAGCATCACCAGGATGGAGAGGACCAGGCAGGCGGCCAGGATCCACCGGGGTAGGCCAGAGCGCCTGCAACACAAGAAAGGGAGTCCTGTAGCGTAGTGGTTAGTGCGCTCGCCTCGCAAGCGAGAGGACCTGGGCATTGATTCCTGGTCAGGGCGAATATCCTTACTCCACACGGTTGTTAGTCGATTGGCAGATCGTGTTTCCGGGGGCAATAATTCCTTTTAAAAAAAGTCACTCAGTTAGATTATAATTTGGATCCTTTACTGGTGATACAGACCCTCCTCTTCGAACGTGCTTATGGTCACCTCGTTCCTCCCCCCGGCTCGGAGTCAGGCTCTGCCACTTTTAAGCCCTCCGAGGCGCGACCCCACGTGAAAGGCACTATATAAATTGTTGTTAACTCCCACCTCCTCACTCCCTAACTGGAATGCTCAGTACATAAGGACTCGTACCTTGACATGCAACCCAGGAAGTCGTGCTCAGAATGTGGTTCCTCTGGGTGTACGAACATGCGTTTCAACTCCTGCTCTTCCTTCGAGCTTTTCTCTATCGCCTCGGGTGCAGCTACAGGGAGAGAGCAACAAACACCATCACTGCAACCATTCCACCGCCTGAGCAATGTCTTTCACGTAGGAAGAACCTGTTGCAACGCTTTGCAGGGACGACACACACACACACACACACACACAGCAGACCACACAGTGGGGGAGAGGAAAGAGAACTCAAGCGCAGTGACCAAAGGCACAGAGTAAGTGCAACGAGGAGAGAATTGTAATCAGAGAATGGGGAAGGAAAGTCCCATCTAGTCATAGAATCATAGATTACCGCACAGGAGGAAGCCATTCCTGCCTGTGCCAGCTCTATGGAAGAATTATCCAATCAGTCCCACCCCCCTGCTCTTTCCCCACATCCATGCAATGTTTGTTTTCTATTCTCCCCTCCTCTACTCACCCGCACGAGGGGACAGTGTTGCTGACACCAGCTTCGGCCAATTCTCTTCGGCTTCACTGGGGTCTTCTTTGGGAATGTTCTCAGCCACGTTGGACCTCGGAGCCTGTAGTTCCTCAGCCGGGTACTCGATGTCGGGCTGAGCCTGCGGGCGAGAGCAATAAATAAACACACGAGGAAGCAAGCTGCCCAGAGAAGTCATTTCAGTCATCACCTCAAAATAATGGAGAGAGAGAGATATGGATGAAAGAGTCCCACAAGAAGAGTCACAGGGAGACATGCAAAGAAAGAAGAAGTCCTGTAGCCTGTAGCTCAGTGGTTAGAACACTCGCTTTGCAAGCGAGAGACCTGAGTTCAATTCCAGGCAGAGGGCGAAACCTTGGGCAAGTTTCCTTACTCCACACAGAGCCTAATAATAATCCCTCCAAAAAAAAAACCCGAAAACAATAATAAATTGGTCATTTTCAATCTACGACTGTTTGTGGGACATTGCTGTGCGCAATTAGCTGCCGCGGTCGCCCACAAATATACAGTCAATTCACTTTACAGTGTGTTCTGTGAAGCGCTTTGGGATGTCCTCCCGACGTGAAAAGCGCTATATCAAATGCAAGGATTATTAAGAAGAAAGGTAGGGAGGGAGAGAGGGAATTTGTTATAGGGCCTTATCACGTCAGAAGGACGTCTCAAAGCGCTTCACAGGAATTACTCCGAAGTGGAGTAACTGTGTATTTGGAGGCAAATGCGGCAGCACAATTGCACACAGCAATGTCCCACAAAGAGCCATGAAACGAGTGACCAATTTGACTGCGAAGGCTTGCAGATGGAATGGAAATGAGATGCGTTTGATTAGAGTCACGGTGAAGCGCTCCAAGACACAAGGGAAATGAGGTGAGTTTGGTTAAGAGTTAGGGTAAGGATTAAGCGCTCCGAGATGGAATGGAAATGAGGTATCTTTGGCGTTGGGCAGAGGCTAATGAAGGAGCCGCAGGTAAAGCAGTAAAATGAGGCTGACCTGGAAGACCACGACTTTGCCATCATCTGCCTGCAGGTAGAAGGTCCAGGTGGAGGAGATGAAGCTCTGAGCTGAGCTGACAATGTCACTGCACAGGTTGGAGATGTAATCAAAGATGGACGGCGCGTGCTCCTTGGGGGTAGCTATCTGTAGCTGAGGGGGTGGGGGGGGGGGGGAGGAAATACAGGCGGAAGAGAGAGAGAGAGTGTTAATTACAAACAGATCCCATCACTAGTGCTTCTGGAGTTAGTAACAACATACAATCCTATTCCTGATTGTCCTGCGCTTTCAGCTACTACACCCTGAAACTTTGGAACTCTCTCCCTCAATCCCTCTACCTTGCCCCCTCCTTCCCTTTTTTTAGATCAAACCTAAAGACCTTCCTCTTCGACCGTGCTTACGGTCACCTCCTCCTTACGCGGCAGAGAGCTCAGCCTCCGTTAAGCGCTCCCGAGTCTGCTAACCAATACACTACAGGACAGAAATAAAATTTCCTGACCCAGTGCCTTCAGCGATTGACTTGGTCAGAGCCAGTGATTGATGGTGAAGCCTCAGTGTATCAGCCCGGCTCCACTGAGGATTCGAGACTTCACATTTGTAAGGAAACTGCCTGCACAGGCTGTCCGGGGACAAGTCAGCAGGTTTTTCTGCTCTTGATGCCTGTATCTCCTGATCGAAGCATCCCATGTGCCCACGAGCCTTAGAGGGGGTAAGAGATCAGGGGTGGTGGGTGGGGCGAGGCAAAGGGGAGATTGGGAGGAGTGACAGGAAGCTGTTTAGAAGCATCACCGTGAAAAGATTCTTCCTGTGGACTGATTGAAGGTTTAAGTTTATAATTGTAATGATAATAATCCTTGCATCTGATACAGCGACTTATCGTGCCGTTGGGACGTCTCAGAGCGCTTCACAGGATATACTGTAAAGTGGAGTGACTGTGTATTTTGTGGGGGCGACCCTTCTCCCCTTTAACACACACACACGCACACACCACCCATGTACCTGTTTCTGCCTCTTCTCTTCTTCCAGGAACTGCTCCCTGCAGCCAGTGTTACAACCTCGCTGCTCCCCTCTCTGAGCGTAAGCTTCCAGGCACGCTGTGAACACAAGCAAGGGGCATCAGATCTCTTGAGCGGTACCCCACGTTGTATAGCTTGCCAAGCTACATTTCCACAGGGTAACAAAAAGCCAGGAGGAGAGAGAGAGACCATCAAAGATATTCAGAGGGAATTTTGACAACTACATTTTAATAGTAACAAAGATAATCATAATAATAATAATAATAATAATCCTGGGATTTAATACAGCGCCTTATCATGTCGTTCAGACTCCACCAGGCTACAGGACTCCACTCTTTTACCCCTCATTATTCCAGCGCCTCGTGATGTCCTCCCGACATGAAAGCCGCTATGTAAATGCAATTTGTTGTTGTTTGGGTTCCCGGACATCTCTCTAATTGCATGGCTGCTGCTCGCCTGCTCGTAATAACGATGATGCTGCACTTTACATCATCGCAGAACCTTACCTGCCTCACACTCTGCTCGGGTGTTGTTGAGGCCACTGGCTCCGTCCACAAACAGGCAGATGGAGAACAGCCGGCATCCTCTCTGACAAGCGTTCAGTGTCGCCTCCTTCAGGAAAAACACAGAAAGACACGAGTCAATGATGGCTCATTCACCAATGGGACACCCGTCATTGACAACAACTGACTGACCAGTCGTTGACAACAACGGCAAAGCAAAATTACATTTGTGAAGGCCTTTCACAATGGGAGAATGTCCCGATGATTACCACACTGTCACTAGTCCACACCCGACTGACCTTTTTTGTTCAGTAAGGATACCAAGGGATATGGAGCAAAGGCAGGTCAGTGGAGTTAAGGTACAGATCAGTCGTGATCTAAGGCGGATCAGGCTCAAGAGGCTGAATGGCCTCCTCCTGTTTTTATGTTCCTATGACCTGCTAGTGGAATGAGAGCAGGCTCAAATGCTGGTTTTCCCATCAGAAACATGTTATATCACTGAGAAACCTCAGACAAAGTTCCAACGACCATAATTATAATAGTAATCCTTGCATTTGATATAAGCTCCTTATGTCATTGAGTCATCTCAAAGCCACAGTACAAGCAAGCATCGCAATGCAGTATAGTAACTGTGCAGTTGGCCAGTGCGACACTCTCCAGTGAGGAGCATTCTACCTGTTAAGACGTTTAGCTCACAGCGACTGCATCTCCCAAGCCTCACTGATCAGCCAGACATGCTGGGCGACCATCAATCAGAACTAGGATTTTCTGCGGTGCCGCCTGTCTTTGCGCAGATGTTTCTTCCTGAGTTCAGTTCAAACCTCAGGAGACGCTGTTTACCTGCCTCTCCCTCCCCTCAATCGGACACAAGGAGCAGCAGTGAGGGTAAATCAAAACACGCTGGTTAGGTAACAAGCTTAGGTTTCAAAAGCTCGTGAAGTGTAGGAGAGCGGGGCAGTCTGAGGGACGGAGGGAGGGAGAGAAATTCACCACCGCTATGATCGTCTCATTCCAGAATTGGGGCAAGGTTTTGTTGAAACACGGAGCGAGAGGCAATAAGTAGGATCCCTGCCCTCCTATTTCCAAATCAACTGTCAGTTAACAATTTGATGCCAACTCATTTATTACACTTCCTACTCTATTTGGAATCACACGGTCTCGGCTGACACTCTATTGCAGTACTGGGGATGTGTTGCGTAGTCAGAGGTGCCGTCCTTTGGCTGAGATGCTAATCTGAGGACCCATTTGCCTGTTCAGGTGAATGCTAAAGAAGGGAATTTCTTTCTCCGGGTGTCCTGGCCAATAATTCCCCCAAAATAAAACAAAATCGTCGCCCACTAGATGATTGTTTGTGGGACATTCTTATGGCCAGTTTCACCCGCAAAATACAATACAATCATTACACTCTCTATTTTCACCCAAAGAAGACTTTTATTTATTTTTGCAAAAGGGGGGGGGGGGGGATGCGATCTCAATGGCGCAAACAGCTGGTTTGCCAACCACTTTAATAAAAAATTCCAAAGGGTGACAAAAACAAAAATCCCAGTGGGAGGTGGGCTGGGAGATTATTTATTGGGGCCTTCGTGTTTGTATGATCTGCAATCGTGCCTTTTTTTTAAATATAAGACACAATTAATTTCATTTAAAATCCACCAATTTTGCTCTGATCAATTCACGTCGGACGCGCTGTGCGTTGTAATGAACAAGGTTCACCAGACATGAAATCTGACACCGCAAACAACAGCAAATCAGACAGAAAAAATATATCTACCTCCGCCCTCTCCCCCCACACACAATCATCAGTATTAGATTGGATTAGAATTGCGACCACCCCCACACCCCCCACAGTCTCACAAGGAAAATGAGACCGGGATACATGTGTGTGTGTGGGGGGGTGGGGGGTTGCAGTATAAAACACACGCACGGGAGTCTTACCTGCACACTCTCTGACCCCGTGGGGGGTAGGGGTGGGGTGGGGGGGGGGATGCTCTGGTTAACATTTGCACGGCTTTTTAACGCCTTAACAACGCGATAAGTCACTATATCAAACGGAAGGATCATTATTATTATGATTATTATTTTTTCACCGAACAAAGATGTATTTTGCTTGAAATGCAGAGGAAGGAGGAGGCTTGGGGGGGGGGGGATGGAGGGGGGATTGGGGGATGGAGGGGGGGATTGGGGGGATGGGGGGGGTGATAAACGAGTTATAGGTCTATTGCTACTTGCTTTTTTTAAAAAAAACGTTCCCCCCTCCCCCCCCCCCCCCCCTTCTCTCTCTCTCTGTCGACATTTTTTTTACCATTTAGCAATGGGCAAAACAAAAGTGGGGGTGGGGGGGGGGTAAAAAGTCCTTAGATCTGTGCTGAGATCTGGGTGGGTGGGTTTGTATTTTGCCAGTTTGGAGGTGGTGGGGGGTGGGGGGGTGGAGGTGGTGGGGGGTGGGGGTTGTTTTTGTGTTTGCATTCCTTGCAGCATCGATGGTGCAGAGAGGGAGACCCAGGGGGTGGTGGGGGGGGGGGTGATGGTTTTAGGGGGTGCAGAAGGGGGAAGAGGAGAGGGAAGAGAGAGAGAGAGAGAGGGGGGGGGGGAGGTGATGGTTTAGGGGGTGCAGAAGGGGGAAGAAGGGGGGAGCAAGCGATGGGGGTGGTGGGGAGGAGAGAGAGAGAGGGGGGGGGGGAGGAGGTGATGGGGGGGTGGGGAGAGAGAGAGAGAGAGGGGTGAGGGGGAGCAAGCGATGGGGGTGGTGGGGAGAGAGAGAGAGGGGGGGTGAGGGGAGAAGCGATGGGGGTGGTGGGGGGAGAGAGAGAGGGGGGGGAGGGGGAGGAGGTGATGGGGGTGGTGGGGAGAGAGAGAGAGAGAGAGGGGGGGTGAGGGGGAGCAAGCGATGGGGGTGGTGGGGAGAGAGAGAGAGAGAGAGGGGGTGAGGGGGAGCAGCGATGGGGGTGGTGGGGAGGAGAGAGAGAGGGGGGGGAGGGGGAGGAGGTGATGGGGGTGGTGGGGAGGAGAGAGAGAGAGGGGGGTGAGGGGGAGCAGGCGATGGGGGTGGTGGGGAGGAGGGAGAGAGAGGGGGTGAGGGGGAGGAGGTGATGGGGGTGGTGGGGAGGAGAGAGAGAGGGGGGGGACTTTGTGTGGTGGGGGTCCTGAAGGCGAGCGGCTTACCCTGGGCTGTCCTTGTTGGGCAAAGGTGTGGTGGCACCGTCCCTGGCACCGGGCAGTGTCTCCCAGGAGGATGGCAAAGGGGTCGGTGGTCGGGTGGCTGCCGGAGCTGGTGACCCACAGCACAGCCAAGAGAGGGGAGAAGATCCCCGTCACAGCTGCCATTGCTCCTCCTGAAACCCCCCCCACCCCCCAACCCCCTCCGCTACACCCCCCGCACACACCCCCCGCACCGCACCGCACACACCGCACACACCGCACCGCACACTGCAGAGCAGGAGGAGGGCTGCGTCAGTCTCACTCTGACGTCAACACCACAGAGCAACTGAGAGAGGATCGGCCACCGAGTGAACACTCACTGTTACACACTCACTGTTACACACTCACTGTGCCACTGTTACACACTCACTGTTACACACTCACTGTGCCACTGTTACACACTCACTGTTACACACTCACTGTTGCACACTCACTGTTACACACTCACTGTTACACTGTGCCAGGCTGTTACACACTCACCGTTACACACTCACTGTTGCACACTCACTGTTACACACTCACTGTTACACTGTGCCAGGCTGTTACACACTCACTGTTACACTCTGCCAGGCTGTTACACACTCACTGTTACACACTCACTGTTACACTCTGCCAGGCTGTTACACACTCACTGTTACACACTCACTCTGTTACACTGTGCCAGGCTGTTACACTGTTACACACTCACTCTGTTACACTGTGCCAGGCTGTTACACATTCACTGTTACACATTCACTGTTACACTGTTACACTCACTGTTGCACTGTGTTAGTCTGTTACACTGTTGCACTCACTGCTACACTGTGTCAGGCTGTTACACTGTTACACACTCACTGTTACACTGTTACACACTCACTGTTACACACTCACTGTTACACTGTTACACACTCGCTGTGCCAGACGCCTACACTATTTCAAGCCGATCGCCGCACTGTGCCAGTTGGTTAAACCTGTTACCAGCCGTTACAATGTCTTTTAAGGTTCTGACTGCTACACTGTCAGTCAGTCAGTGGGTTACGAGATGCTTTGCACCATCAAACCGGGCCGTTAGCACTCGTGACAATGCCCCGAACTGATTGTCAGTCGGTTACGACCTCCGCTACACCGCCTTAATCTTAAGAGCTACACTGCGTCCATGTGTGACATTGTGACAGCCGAACGGTGACAGTCTCGCTGCTCCACCGCCTCAAAGCTATTTCCCTTAAGGACACGATATCGGTCTCACTGTTACACCGTCTCCCTCATTGTGACCCTGTGACAGACTCACTGTGATATCACTGCTGCATTGTTTGTTGGGGTAACGCTGTTTTTCTGAGATTGCAGGCAGACTTGCTGGAGTATTTCGGGCGGATTTCACAAATTAACAGAGAGGGTTCATTTGAAGAAGGTCCATTTAATCTCATCCTTCTAGAATACCAAGTCCAGAGTCAGGCGTCAAGCTGTTTCTCACACAACAACAACAACAACAACAAGTTGAATTGACGTAGCGCCCTTCAAGGAGGGCAGCAACTCGGAGCGCTTAAACAAGTTGCTGTCCCGGCCTTAAGGATCCTTTGTTGTGGTTGTTGTTTATGTGACCCGTTTCAGTTTGGGAATATTCTCCGTGCAAGTGAATACTTCCCCGTTCCTGTACTTGCCTTTCGCGATCCTGCAACTAATGTTAATTTGGGGTATGTTTTAGGTGTCCCCTTTCATCGGAACTGGAATGGCCTATTAATGTGATACACACACACAATGACTTACTTTAGATCAATAATGAAAAACAAAGGTGAGGTTAGAAACACTTGTTTACAAATGTCCTACCAGCAGTTGAAAACTAAGGCTTGACTATGCAGACGCCCTTCTTGTCGGTCTTCCCAACTTCTCCCTCCACAGCTGCAGATAATCCAGAACTCTGCAGCCCGTGTCCTCTCCCGCACCAAACACCGTGACCCTATCTCCCCCACTCTCACCCGACTCCATTGGCTCCCTATCCTTCAGAGGATCCAGTTCAAGCTCCTGGTCCTCACCTACAAAGCCCTCCATGGCCTCGCCCCACCCTACCTCTGCCACCTCCTAACCCCCTACCAACCCGCCCGTTCCCTCCGCTCAGCCGGCTCCGGCCTGCTCCACATCCCCCGACTCACCCACCCACCCCACCATTGGCGGAGTGCCTTCAGCCACTCTGCCCCCAACCTCTGGAATTCCATTCCCCAATCACTCCGCCTCACCCCCTCCTCAGCCTCCTTCAAGTCCCGCCTCAAAACCCTCCTCTTCCATCAGCCACCCCCCTTCCCCTCCTCTTCCTTCTCCCCCCACTGACCCCAGCTTGGGTCTGAAATGCTGCATACTGTCCAGCGCCTTGGGACATCCTTCCAATGTGAAAGGCGCTATATAAGTGTAATCTTGCTGTTGTTAAAATAACTTTTATGAGAGGAGTAAACAACAGGGTTAGCCCATGAGCTATTAGCCTAACTTATATTTTACATCACTCTCTCTTTCATATTCCAATCGACCTCACAGCTTTTTGGCCCATGCTCAAAGCTCCAGGATAATTTGTTGATATACACCATCATCATGATTCAGGAATTTCCTTTCCCATCATTGCGGTTAGCAAGAATAGCTTCACATACTGTACAGTGCTCCAGAGATGCTTTCTGAGTGCGACAAGTCCAGAGCAGTGTGTCATGAGCCATTCATTCTGATCAGGGCTGGTTGTGTCACTTTGGAAGCGCTCAGTGACTGCGAGAGAAACAACACCCCACTATGTCCATTCCTCTGTGTGAGCAGTGTATCACTGTGGTGTGGGACAGATGATGAGGGAGAGGGTATGAAATGCCTTGTTCTCTACCCACTCACTGACGTGTTAAAGAGAGAGCAATGCGTAGGCAACAACAGGATATTTCACCGCTTTGCTTTACAAAAGGTCAGTTTTGAGCAAGAGCATCAATTGCCCAATTGCAGGAATTGGTCTATTAACCCTGTAAATACTAGTTCCCCCCAATAGTCCTGACAGTGTCCAGTAAAGCAACAACTTGCATTTATATAGTGTCCCTCGCGTAGGGTAGCATTAAGCCACACACACTGAAAGGTGTGACTTGTGTTGATGTGTGGATTTCCAGCATTTTAAAAATCTCCTTTCCATTTTCCTTCCTTCAATAAAGTTTGGTTTGGAGACTCTTAAGCATTGGTGATGGGTTTCCGAATGTATCACACACCCGGTTGACCCCCCCAACTCCCCAAATAAGCCTCATTTGGAGTAATCTAAGTGATTGGAGTGATTGGATTGTTACAAAGGGGTGAAGCTCAGAGTGCGTTATAATGCAGTTACGGTGAGGAGTGAAAGATATATCAGAGAGTGTTACAATGAGAGGTGAGGACATATCAAACGGCTACAGTGAGCGATGTGCCTGTATACCAAGTGCAAAACCCTGACTGTCCAGGGTCTTGGGACGTCCTCCCGACGTGAAAGGCGCTTTACAAATAATAATCATAATTCTCGCATTTGATTTAGAACCTGATCACGTCTTCGAGACGTCTGTGTACGTTCTGTGGGCAAAAATGTAACTCGTTGTTGTTGCTGTTGTATCAGCGAACGTTACAGCGAAGGGTGTGATGTGTATCAAGAGTGTTTACGCCGAGACGTGCCGTGGATGGTCAGCGTGCTAAATCAGGAGATGGGAGCTATTTTGGTGTGAAGATGTGACAGACAGTAGGTCACATGGAAGGGAATGCAGATTATGTCAGACTATTACAGTGTGTGTGTGTGTGTGGGGGGGTGGGGTGGGGGGAAACCCGAAGTATATCAGACATTGCATTGGAGATACAGGAGCTAAGCTAAGCCTGTGCTTAAAAAAAAATTACACGTTCCCAGGGCTATTGAAAGGTTCCTGCCAACATTTCCTCTGAACCATTCATTCAACGATATACAGTGTGAGTGAGAGTGAGTGAGTGAGTGAGTGAGTGAGTGAGTCACCATGGCTCAGCCATTGACAAGTGGTTGGTTGGTTGGGTTGGTTGGTTTAGAGATCGATGCATAAGCTTACAGGAATCTTAACCACTGAGGAAGTATTATTCAACATCCCAAACCAGCCAGACACCAGGGGTTGGAGCAGAAACAGACAGATAGGTGGGATCTGCACACACACACACAAAAAAAGACAAGTCAGGATAATGCAAGGGGTTGGATCAAGGTTCTTACAGGGAGAAACTTGTCAGATTTCAGGCTCCAATTTTTTTTTTGGGGGGGGGGGTTGGTGGAGGGAATCAGACAGACAGACAGACAAGACAGACAGAAAAGTTTCCACTCCAGTTAGTTGGGCACGATTTATCTCACTCAGTCCAACGAGTGCTGTTTCTCATGAGAACGACTCACTCACTCCCCATCGACCACGAAGAAGAAAAAGACTATACATCACTTTTATTTTGATTTTTTTTTCACCCCTTTTTTTTTTGGTGGGGGGTGGGGGGGGGGGGGGGGGAAGAAAAATTATAATACATTAAGTTAAGTGCACAGAACTTTCGGAAATATGATCGTTTCTCCTCTCCTCGCCCTTTGTTTGCTGAAAGCAGTGTTGGGTATCACTCGTAAGTACTGTACTTGCAATTGCATTTGGGAACCGAATAGAATAAAGAATTTTTCTAACAGACGATTTAACCTATAGTCAAGGGGGTGAGTGTAACTAACACGTTGCTCTTTATTTATTTTGAGGAATTCTTTCCTCCATTTCATTTCTATTCATTTATATATATATATATATTTATACATCCACACATATATAAGTATATATATTTGTTCTAAAATAACTCAGTTTAATATACGATCCTAAAATCCTTCTGAATTTGTTATGCATTATAGTTATGTCTTTTGCCTTTAAAAAAACACCTCAACTTTCACAGAAATCTGTTCATATTTGTTCAGAATTTGTTCATATAGAAATATATGATACCAGACTCTATCAGTGTATAAAAACGAAGTATATCAGGCACTGCAATGGGCAAGGAGCTATGTACAGTATTTGTAATATATAATATATATGTATAAAAATATTTCAAATTTTGAACAATTTTGGGTTCTAATAACAAGTTGAGCTTTTTTTTTCACCAAAAAAAAAACTTTCCCCTCTACCATGAGACTGTGGCTCTGATTTAACCTGGATTCGTGGAAACGTGATGGTAAAAAAAAAAAAAAACTTTAAATGTAAATCGCTGGGAAATAAAATAGAAATCAAGCGTTGGGAGGCAATTATTTTGAGAAAGAGAACAGAAAAAGTTTTTAAAAAAAAAGAAAGAAAGAGAGAGCGAGAGAGAGGGAGAGAACAGAAAACCAGGAGACGGAAAAATGGGCAACATATTTTTTGAGAGAAGAATTCTCCTGAAAGGAAGCGAAATAAAAGAGGGATTATCATTCGCCTGAAGGAGTTGCCAGAGTCTTGTTGGGACATAGATCAATCACAGGCGCTTTGCTCTCTCATCCAAGTTGAATGTTACCTTTCAAAGCCGGGATCTGCTCTTACTGGAGGCCGGAATGTGACAGATTGCTAGAATCTCTGCTTGGCTGGCGATTGCCATCAGCACCTTCCAGAACCGGTTACCTGTCCCAACCGCCGCACCTTCTCGCCCCCACAACCGCCCCTTTCTCTCACGCCCCCCGCCACGTCTTCAAACCGATTCCACTATTCCCAACCACCGCCACCCCTCTTCCCTTTTCCCCAACCACCCTCTCCTCTCCTGAATCGCTCAGGAGCTGTTTTCTTCTCTGCAGCCAAATGGTAATAATAATAATAATAATAATAGTCATTCAATCCACGACTGTTTGTGGGACACTGCTGCGTGCAATTGGCTGCTGCGTTTCACCCGCAAAATATACAGTCAGTTCACTTTACAGAGATCCGACTAACTGGTCCAGTGATACCTGTCATTTCAAGGCCAATATTCATGTTGCAGTGGAATACTTCTGCAGCCAGCTGTGAGCCCTACTCAACCAGAGGCCACTGCGGCCAAGATTTACTCAACCACCTTAATGTGGGGTGCAGAGTGGGGCTAAGGGATCTTGGGGACTTCCTCAGAGGAGAACCCATCAGAGGAAGACACTGTGCCACTCGAAAGTGCCATCTAGTGGTGGTATTAGTGGGCTGGTGCCATTCAGTTACTTTACAATAATAATAATGATCCTCGCATTTGATATTATTTTTGCCCACAAAATATACTACACTTTACAGTGTATTCTGTGAAGCGCTTTGAGACGTCTTGAAGACATGATAAGACGCTGTATCAAATGCGAGGATTATCATTATTAGAAGCAGGAGACCGGAGTAAGAAGGCATGGACGGGAGCATAGGGCTGGAGGAAATTGAGGAGATGAGGTAAGGAGGGTTGGGACAGTGAGTTGAATATCTAGGCCAGGGTTACTCTCAAACTAACGAGAGTTCAAGTGATTGTCTTGTGTTATAGCGATGGGCTCAGTGATGCCACAGGACCCCATCCTGACCATAGGCTCCTCGCTGAGCGCGACCTGTGCTGTGACGTCGGAATCAAAGATCAAGTCTCGGGACCTCTTCTGGACCTTAAACGGCAGGCAGATCCCAGCCGAGCTGTGCAGAGTCGTCAATGAGACGGCACTCCGGGTCACACTGCGCAACCTCAACGGGTCTCAGCAGCAATCCGGCGACAACCTGGTGTGCCACAGGGCCGATGGCAGGATCCTGGCAGGGTCGTGTCTCTACGTGGGCTGTGAGTGTCCACAATGGGGCTATTATGCAGGGAGAGGGGGGAGAGTGGGGGGTGAAGGGGATGGTACCAGAACAACAACTTGCATTTACATAACACCCCTCACACAGGATAGCGTCCCAGAGCACTTGAGCGTGAGGGGGGTAAGGGGGGGAGAGATGACTGTGAGCACGGTCAAAGAAAAAGTTCTTCAGGCACAACCAGAAGATGGGGAAGGGGGCAAGGCGGAGGGATTGAGGGAGTGCGTGCATGCATGCTTACTGTTGCGTGTGTAATTGTGCAATGGTTGCACACCTGCATACCTCTGTGCGGGGGAAGAAATATGCGATATGTAATAATTCTCCCATCGCATGCCACATATTTGCCTCTGGTGTGTAACTAAGATTAATGACGGTTGTTATGTGTCTGTAAAGGCAGGAATGAAATTTGATCCCTCGTCAGATCAAAGGAGATGGGATCTCACTGAGGCTCGGTATTTTGTTTTCAAATCCCTCCCGGGGAGGGTTAGATGTGATGACACAATGAGCATTTGTCTCCCCTCCTTTCCTAAAGGCAGCTGTTTTGATTGGGGTAAAGTCTCGTACCTCTAAGGTCTAATTGAGTCTAGGCTGTGTGTGTGTGTGTGTTTGGGCAGCTTCACAAGGGGTGGCAGGCATCTCAAAGGGGAGCTCTTATGATCCTGACCTCGCCCGATGGCTACACTCACTGGTTCGAACAGGGACCATTAGCGGGAGATCAGGGACAAGAACTTTGACTGATATCCCACTCCTTCATATAACCATTTAGGAAAAGGAGGAAGCCATTCAGCCCATCAACCCTGTTCAGCTAATTTATTAGATAATGATAGTTTTTTTGTTTAACATCCCATTCCTCCACACCCACTTATTCCTTTCACTTCGCAAGTATCTATCCACCTCTTCCCCCCACCGCCCCGCCTTGCCTCCTTCAAGACTCGTCTCAAGACCTTCCTCTTCAACCGAGCCTTCGGTCACTCTCCTAGCCCCACCCTCTCTGCCCTCCACCCCTCCTGATCCCCACCCCCCCCAGCTCGGGTGCAAACCCTTGACTGTCCAGCGCTTGGGGCTGCTCTTAAACATCCCAATCCATTCTGTGTCTCTGACCTTAATGAGGCAGTGCGTTCCCTTTTCTCACAGTATTCGGTGTAATTAAATTTCTTTTCTGATCTCAACTTCCAACCTGTTCAGCTCAAGTTTTAGGATTACGAGCCCTTTGTTTTGGATCCCTCTGCATGCTGCGCTAGTGGGAGGGGAGCAGGGGAGGGTCGTGTAATTCCATCGCGTTTCTTCGAGGGGCTTTAAATATGAGCTTCTCAGATGATCCCTCCTCAGAAATGAAAAGTGCCTTTATTTCTTTCTTTCACTCTATGTCAGCGCCTCCTGAGAAACCAACCAACATAACCTGTTGGTCCAAAAACACCAAGGACCTGACGTGTAAGTGGCTGCCCGGTGGAGAAGGAGAGGCATTCCTGAGAACCCGCTACACCCTGAAATATAAACTAAGGTAAAATGAGTCAGGGTACACACACAGCGGAGTCTGTATAACTGAGCTGCAGAACTGAAATGTGGCCACACAGGTCAAAAAGGGGAAAGTTATAATCATAATAATAATCCTTGCATTTGATATAGCGCCTTATGATATACCTCAAAGGGCTTCACAGAGTTTATGTAAAGTGGATTGACTATGTATTTTATGGGCAAACATTGTGATAGGCAGTGTCCCACAAACAGTTGTGGATTGAGTGGCCACATTTTTTATTTGAAGGGATTATTACCGCCAGAAATTGATCCATCAGTCGACTAACAACCAGGTTCCTACTTACTGCTGGTAAACATAGGCATGTGGAGTAAGGAAACTTGCCTCGGGTTTCGCGCTGCCTGGGAATCGAACACGGATCCTCTCGCTTGCCAGGCGAGGGCTCTAACCACTAGGCTATGGGACTACACAAGTTATGTGAGCGTGAGGTTGTGTGACTGACCATCATCTTGTAGATTGTGTCAGCCTCAGTGATCCTAATCTTATCCTCAGGTGGTACGGCAGAGAGAAGGAGTGCTCGGAGCCGGGTGTGGCTGGGGTCTATTCCTGTTATATTCCCAGGGATCTCGCTCTCTTCACTCCCTATGAAATCTGGGTTGAGGCGTCGAATAAGCTGGGCTCTGCGGCTTCTGAAATCATCTCCCTGGACATCCTCGATGTGGGTAAGTTAACAACAACAACAAATTGCACTTATGTACAGCTGCCTTCCAGGTCGGGAGGACATCCCAAGGCGCTGTACAGTCGAGGGTTTGCGCACGAGCTGGAGTTAAGAGGGGCGGAGGGCAGGGGGCTGGGCAGATGACCAAAGACACAGTGGAAGAGGACCACAACAGGGTTACAACTCTAAGCTTAACATGTCACACCCAATGTAACCGCTTCTCCATTACCTTGGACAGTTACTACAGATCCTCCGTCCGACGTGCGGGTGAATCGTGTGGGTGACCTGGAGGACCAGCTGGGTGCCCGCTGGAGCTCCCCTCCCGCCCTGAAGGATTTTCTGTTTCAGGCCAAATACCAGATCCGCTACCGGGTCGAGGACAGCGTTGAGTGGAAGGTACGTCCAGCATTGCAAGAAGGCAGGGGTGGGCAGCAATTGTGAGGTGGGAGAGGGGGAGTTCAGGATATAAGAAAGGACTGACCACATTATTCTGGACTCCACCTGCTCTTCTGGCTCAGCTCCAAACCAAGTTCCATTGGTTGCCTGGCGCAGACATTGACTCTCTCCCTGTTTCAGGTGGTGGACGACATTGGGAACCAGACGTCCTGTCGCCTGGCCGGGCTGAGGCCGGGAACCGTCTACTTTGTGCAGGTCCGGTGTAATCCCGTGGGGATTTACGGCTCCAAGAAAGCCGGAATCTGGAGTGACTGGAGCAGCCCCACCGCTGCCTCCACCCCCCGCAACGGTGAGTCTCCACCTCCGGAATGAGTCTCTGTTTCCCTACCCCCCCCAGAACAGTGAGCTCCGCTCCTCCCCCAGAACAGTGAGCTCCGCCCCCATGCCCCCCACCCCCAGAACAGTGAGCTCCGCCCCCACGCCCCCCCACCCCCAGAACAGTGAGCTTCGCCCCCACCCCCAGAACAGTGAGCTTCGCCCCTCCCCCCCCAGAACAGTGAGCTCCGCCACCCCCCGAAGTGAACTCCGCACCCCCAGAACAGTGAGCTCCGCGCCCCCACAGAACAGTGAGTCTCCTCCCCCTCAGCTGGTAAGCCTACACCTACCTCGCTCCCCCTCCCTCGAGTCACGGCAGCAAAGGAGCATCTCACGCCTCGGATTGTCTCCACCTGCGTGTGAGTGTGGGAGCGTCCAGGCGATTGCCTCAAGCGACTGATTTGCTTTGCCGTCTTGCCGCAGACCGTGCCAGCGGAGCCTGTTATCAGAAGAGCCGGGAGCAGGGCTCGAACCTGCGGCGAGAGCTCAAGCAGTTCTTCAGCTGGGTCAAGAAACACGCCTACGGCTGCTCCGCCCTCAACATCAAGCTGTACGACCAGTGGCGGGTTTGGCTGCAGAAATCACACAAGACTCGCAACCAGGTAAGTGCCCCATTCCCAGAGACATTCCATGTAATATATTAATCATCATAATAATGCTTTCATTTGATACAGCGCCTTATCAGGTCATCGAGACGTCTCAAAGCGCTCCACAGGACACAGTGTAAAGTGGAGTGACTGTGTATTTTGCGGGCGAAACGCAGCAACCAATTTGCGCACAGCAGCGTCCCCACAAACAGTCATGAAATGAATGAACCCATTTTTTTTTAATTGGGGAGAAACTCCTTTCTCTTTTTAAATAGTGCCATGGGATCTTTGAAATGTCCACCTGAACAGACAGGCAGGACAAAGAAACTGATACTCATTCCCAGAGAAATCCCATTTCCCTCATTCCCATTCCCAGCTGTATTTATCTCAGTGCCCTGGAGGGAGAGGGGGGTGTATGGCTGAGACGAGGAACACATTTTGAGATGTTGCCTCTTTGATTTTTGTTTCTGTTTCCCCCAGAACCAGGAAGTTGCTGTTTTTATTGGATCGCAGGAAGGCAAGTCTTCCGTGAAACCAAATAGGAACAGGAGGAGGCCATTCAGCCCATCAAGCCTGCTCCGCCAGTTGATTAGATCAGGGGAAAACTTTCACTCCCATATCTCTTAGCACCCATACTTTCCAAGTATCTTTCTATCTCCCTTTTAAAATATCCCAAATCAATTCTACATCTATTAAGAGTTTGATAGTAACTAACGGTGTCTATCAAATTAACCTGGCTGATTAGGGCTATGTCAGTCTTGTATTTTCTGCCCATTTCTTTATCCCTCAGGTTGTCTCTGTTTGTCTCTCTCTCACTGTCTCGCCTCGTCTTTCTCAGTCTGTTCACCTGTCTTAAGTGGTTTGTCTCCGTTTCTCTCTCATTATTTATTTGTCTTTCATTCTGTCTCGACTCCAGGAGCACTGCTGTGCTGACAGAATGTCTGTCAGACATCAAGTCCTGGATCAGGCGCTGATAGCATCACCATCCATGGTTGCACACTCCACCTTTCTAAACCAGTTCGGAACCTTAGGGTCTTGTTTGACCCTCAACTATCCTTTCTACCCCACATCTGTGCCATGGCCCGCTCTGCCTTCTCCCACCTCCGCAACATCGCCCGGCTCCGCCACTGTCTCACACCACAGGCCACCAAAACCCTCATACACTCCTTCATTACATCGAGGCTCAACTATGCAAACTCCCTGCTTATCGGCCTCCCCAATTCCTCCCTCCACAGGCTGCAGATCATCCAGAACTCTGCAGCTCATGTCCTCTCCCGCACCAGGTTCCATGACCCTATCACCCCATCCTCGCCCAACTCCACTGGCTTCCCATCCCACAGACGATACAGTCCAAGAACCTGGTCCTCAACTTCAAAGGCCTTGCTCTCCCCACCTCTGCGATCTCCTAACCCCCTGCCACCCTGTTCGCTTCCTCTGCTCAGCGGGCTGCGGCCTGCTTCATGTCCCCCACCTTGCTCGCCCCACTATCGGCGGGCTGGCCTTCCGCCACTCTGCTCCCACCCTCAGTCATACCACTTCCCATTTCATCCCTCAGTCCCTCCGTCTCACCCCATCCCTTGCCATCTTCAAGACCCACCTCAAGACAGTCCTCTTTGACCGTGCTTTCGATCTCCCGGCTTCCCCCCCTGCCCTCCACCCTCCCCAATCCCGACCCTCAGCTCGGGTCCATAACTCTGTCTATCCAGCGCCTTCGGACGTCCTCCCGACCTGAAAGCCGCTATACAAATGTCATTTTATTGTTGTCTACCACTTTCTCTCTGTTTCCTGTTGTGTCCATTTGTCTATCTGTTCCTCACTGTATATTTCGGTATCTATCACTCGCTGTTTGCCCATCAATCTCTGCCTCTCTTCATCTCTCACTGGCCTATCTGTCTGCTGATCTCTCTCCAAGTGTCTGGTCTGTAAATCCATTTCACTCTCACTCTCTCTGTCTATCAGTCTATCTCAACCCAAAATAAAAGTCACTCACAAATTGCTTTTCTTTTTCAGACTCTCCCAGCAGATAACTCCAAGGAGAGACACTCCTCCCAACAGATGGGCCTCGTGAACGTAGGAGAAAGTTCTTGGTGGCTACAAAGCATAACGTTAACTCAGAACGTTGGAAACAGCCCCCGGCGAAGGCTGCCCAGTCAACTCCAAAACCCCTGGGACCGTCTGCACGTTAGATTAGAGACGAGCTCTCCCTTTATTAGAGGCGTGAGGGTTTCTGCAGCGTCTGTGTGACTTTGTTGTCGATTAGATTTCTTAGATGTGACGCTGGAGATAGTATGTTTGGTGGAGGGCATTAGGGACACGGTCTCAGTGGGAAGAAGGTTCTAGAACTGCATTTTGTCCGCAGTGACCTGGCCTTGACAGGCCATTGATTCCCCCTGTCCTGTCCCACTGTAAAGATTTCTGCTGTAAAATCCTGTAGAATCAGTGCACGGAGGGTATTAACACAAATAAAATGTAAAGGATGATTGTGGGGCTGAAATGACCTCTTAACGATTTTGGGGACAATTATTTTCTTTGTCAAGAAAATAGGAACATTAAAGCACAACAAGTACAGATCGTCAAAGATTCAGGTTTACCCGACCAATTCCTTGCTCTGCTGACCCCAGTCTGGCACTGCGCATTGCGATGTGATCACGATTAAGGTATTAAAAAAAAATGTTTATTTATCCGGAGCAAGAACAACATCAGTAATTCTAGGGGGGAAATAGCGATTGACTACATTTATACAGGGGTAACATTGGGGGCACATATACAACACTGCACTCAATTTGATTCCAAATTGGATGACTATTTTGCTCAGCGAGCCCATAGGTACAACCCTGGTGTGGTAATGTGGTAATCACACTGATGTGCCAATAGAGATCGCTCTCTTGAGGATTTCCAGCCACATAGGAACAGGTCAGGGTGAATTCTGGGCACCTTGAGGAATTAAATGTTTATCACACAGAGAGAAACTATTCCGGACACCTATCCCGAAAACGGGACCCATTCACCCACCCCACCCACTCATCCCCCTTTTGACCTCTGAAAAAGGGTTGGTTTTTCACCTCCTTGATCCCTAGTTCTGAATAACATCATGAGTTATTCATTGCAGTGAGGGCAAGTCAGAGAGTACTCAGGGTGTGTTGGAACCTTGACAACGTGTAACCCAAACCTCCCTTCTCCTTCAACCCCCACCCCCCCCCCACATACAAAACCTCACTCCTGTGGTTCGGTAAACCATCCGGGCTGGATGAGAGAAGTGATTCTGACACACAGGGACACCTCCGGCCTCTCTCACTCCCTCTCCCCCGTTTCTTCCATCTCCTCCGAGTCGTACTTGAAATCTTGGAGGATTTCGTTGATGGCCTCAATGGTTTTGTTGACTCTGGTGAGAGAAGGAGGAGATAATCCACAGAGTCAATCAATGTTGCTCTACACGTCACACCCCTATGGCCCGTTTGGTGACTGGGGGGATGGCGGCGGGGGGGGGGGGGCTGGGAGAGGAGTAGACAGTAATAACTGTCCCTTTCTCAGGTGGGAGTTAGCCATCCTCATTACCATCCAACTGCCTTCCGTGTCTCTGAATCCGACGAGCCTGAAACCTCTCGGTTGACGGGAGCGTCCTGGGTTGTTCTCCAGATGAGGTCTCACTGAGGCCACATCTGGATAACGTTTAAAATGACCTCTCCCCGTCTTGTACATTACCCCGCGCATCCCAAGATTCCGTGAACGTGAACTCCTCGGGAAATCTGTGCCCATGGATTTGGTTACCAAATACCCCCAAGATCTCTCCTTCCTGTTCCGATCAGACAATTTACCACTCAGTACATATGACGCACTGTGCATTCTCTCCTACGTTTCTGCCTTCCGCTGAGCTGACTGAAGGGAACCGTGTGACCAGCCACTAACCTCTGCTTCAGTTCTTGGGTTTCCTCCTGGTAACTCTCATTCTCCGGATGGTCCAACGCTCTCTGTTTTGCGAGCTGCAGCCTGGCAGTCTGCGGAAAAACATACGTCTCGGTTAACCAAAGAAACATACATCTCTGTTAATCAATCGAAGAATCGCAGTGTGTTATAGAGCAGAACCAGACAACGCTGGTGTTTTTTTTCCACTGTATAATTATAATAATCCTTGCATTTGATGCGGCCCCTTTTTTGGGGGTTGGCCAGGTGTCTGACACATGCAGAAACCCACCACAATGCGTAAGAGTATCCAAACCAAACATCCCACCTACACATGGAAATTCCAGAGATAGATTGGTGGAATGGAATGCGCTCTCTCTCTCTCTCTCTCTCTGGAGGGATGGATCCCGCTTACCTAATTGCGGAAAGTATTACGCGCAGGTTAATAAGAGCCAAGGCGAGAGTGCATTGAAGCAACTGCTGGAGTCCAAGCAACTAAAACATGTGGCGCCTATCATGTCAGGAGGAGTCTAGAAGCTTTTCACGGGATTTACTGCAGATTGCAGCGACTGTGTATTTTGTTGGAAAAGGCGGCAGTCAATTTGCGCACAGCGATGTCCCACACACAGCCATGAAGTGAGTGGCCGATTTTATCTGGACATTGGGATAGAGAGAAACCCCCTTCTATTTCCGAATAGCGTAGCGGGCTCTTTAACATTCACCCGAACCAGCAGACGGGACCTCAGTTGGTTTAACATCTGATCTGAAATTGCCCTCTGTTTTTGTTTTTGGTTTTGTGTGACGTGATGCCCCTCACCAGCTCCAACTTCTCCCGTTCCCGCTCCTGGATCCGCTCCATGTGCTCCGAGAGGTCGGGGCGGTCCCACTCCTCGTGAAGCCGGCTCTTCAGCTCGATCACCTCCTTCGAGATCCCGTTAAACGCTTGCGTGATCTCGTGCACCAGCTGCCGGTAACGGACAAAGTCATAGTCGGGAGAAGACTGTAGATAGGCCCGGTGGCCCCTGCCCACAGAGAGAGAGAGAGAGAGAGAGATAGAGAAGAGAAAGAGAACAACAATTAAACTATTGTCACTGCGTGAGGTTTGATAACATTTTAGCAGATGATCTCTCCCTTCCACCGAGCCCCAGGGCTTCTCTGGAAAGTTGTTGTGTATAGTTTGGGTTCGGCTGTGGAGTGAGGAAACTTGCACAAAGTCTCGCCCTGACCCGGAATGGAACTCGCGTCCTCCCGCCCGCGAGGCGAGTGGTCTGACCACCACACTGACGAGTGTCGCGCAGGCGGCCGCTTTCCGTCACTCACTCGTCAAACAGCCTGTAAGCCTCCACTCTCTCTTCCTGCAACGCGTAGAATCTCCGCACCAGCGCCTTCAGACCGCTCTGTAATAAACAGCAATAAACAGCGACCCCAGTGAGTGAGCGAGCCGCACGCTCTGTGTCTGTGCGCGCGACGAGGTCAGAGATACTACCTGCTAACGTATAATAATAATAATAATAATCCTTGCATTTTATATAGCGCTTTTCACGTCGGGAGGACGTCCCAAAGCGCTTCACAGAACACACTGTAAAGTGAATTGACTGTATATTTGTGGGCAAACGCGGCAGCCAATTGCGCACAGCAATGTCCCACAAACAGTCATGGATTGAAAATGACCAATTTATTATTGTTTTTGGTTTTGGAGGGATTATTATTAGGCTCTGTGTGGAGTAAGGAAACTTGCCCAAGGTTTCGCCCTCTGCCTGGAATTGAACTCAGGTCTCTCACTTGCAAAGCGAGTGCTCTAACCACTGAGCTACAGGACTCCACGTAAGCCTGTAATGGGAGGGGGGGGGGGGGATAGTAAACACGGTACCCAACAGTATATTAATAATTGATAATTAGATATTAACACGAATCGTCTTTGTGTTTGAGGGCAGCGCCCTCTCAAAGCCCTCGAGATGTCTCGAGAGCACTTTGCCGGACTCACTGCAGTGCGCGGGCGAACCCGGCAGCTCAACCGGCGCACGGCCACGTCCCGCACACCGCGGTACGGTCAGGCTCGCCACCGCCGGGACGCCAAAGGAAACGGGCACCTTCTCGCCACACCAGGTGACTGACGCCGCCTCTCCTCTCAGGACTTTCCGACTTATTTTCCTCGAGCGCTCTAAACCCTTTAACGTGCGGGCATCACCGTGCCCTCACCATCCTCTCACCATGCTCTCTCACCCTGCCCTCACCAGGCCCTCACCCCCTGCCCTCACCAGGCCCTCACTGTGCCCTCACCAGGCCCTCACTGTGCCCTCACCATACCCTCACTGTGCCCTCACGTTGCCCTCACTGTGCCCTCACTATGCCCTCACCGTGGCCTCACTATGCCCTCACGTTGCCCTCACCTTGGCCTCACCATACCCTCACGTTGCCCTCACCATAGCCTCACTATGCCCTCACGTTGCCCTCACTATGCCCTCACTATGCCCTCACGTTGCCCTCACCATACCCTCACGTTGCCCTCGCAGTGCCCTCACCGTGGCCTCACTATGCCCTCACGTTGCCCTCACCATACCCTCACGTTGCCCTCACCGTGGCCTCACTATGCCCTCACGTTGCCCTCACCTTGGCCTCACCATACCCTCACGTTGCCCTCACCATAGCCTCACTATGCCCTCACGTTGCCCTCACCGTGGCCTCACTATGCCCTCACTATGCCCTCACGTTGCCCTCACTATGCCCTCACTATGCCCTCACGTTGCCCTCACCATACCCTCACGTTGCCCTCGCAGTGCCCTCACCGTGGCCTCACTATGCCCTCACGTTGCCCTCACGTTGCCCTCACCATGCCAGGCCCTGCTCTGCGCCCCAGGCTCAGCTCCCACACTGCGCTCCTCAATGCAGCACCGAGCAGCCCCATCGCCACCCTCCTCCTCCTCCTCCAACAGCACCGCCCGGAGGCTCCGTACGTCCACTGCACGGAGGCGAAACCTTTCTCCTGGTTACAAACCCAACTCCCGGCCCCATAGGTCAGCCCTTTTTTTTTGGTGTGTGCTGGACGCTTGTGAGGTTTGTGACGTCAAAGTACAAGGCCCGTTTGGACACTTCTCCAACAGGTCCAAGGGATCTCGAGCAGTTGACGGTACCTTGGTTTCAGCCGAAGGAGAGCCCACCTGACGATCCCGTTCCACCGTCAGCCCAACTCTTTGGATGTGCATTTAGTCAATGTCTTTGCGTCTAACACCTACACAACCGCGCAAAGTGGCAGCGCAGAAGACCAATCGGCCCATTGGGTCCGCGCCAGTAATCCTTTCAGTCCCATTTACCTGTCATGTGTCATATTCCGCATCAGGTTCATGTGGAATATAATAATAATAATAATAATAATAATAATCCTTGCATTTGATATAGCGCTTTTCACGTCGGGAGGACGTCCCAAAGCGCTTCACAGAATATACTGTAAAGTGAATTGACTGTATATTTGTGGGCGAACGCGGCAGCCAATTGCGCACAGCAATGTCCCACAAACAGTCGTGGATTGAAAATGACCAATTTATTATTGTTTTTGGTTGTTTTTTGGAGGGATTATTATTAGGCTCTGTGTGGAGTAAGGAAACTTGCCCAAGGTTTGGCCCTCTGCCTGGAATTGAACTCAGGTCTCTCACTTGCAAAGCGAGTGCTCTAACCACTGAGCTACAGGGCTCCACACATATGAGCACAAGCGTGGACTGGTTGGGTCGAATGGCCTGTTTCCGTGCTGTAACCGTCCATACAACCCACACTCGCTAGCTCCCGGGAGCCTTTCTCGAGAGAAAGAAACCTTTGGATACGTTTGTGTATCAGGAAGTCAGTTTATTGCTTATTCAGAACACGGTTGGAGATTCACCTACAGGCAGCTCTCCCATCACTGCTAACCACTCAACAGGCACATAGCAATCACCTCGACACAACTCGAGCCCTGACCAAACTGGATCCAGGGAGCAGGAGACTAGAATAGAAAAACACTTTAAAGTACACCTCACTTCCAGCGAGGTGAGCACGTTTGTAGGTATAGTGTATTTATGCACATGTGGTTTATGTACGCACACATATCTACACCAGCGAGACCTATCCAGTGGTGGCCCCAAAATCCACTGGTACAATAACCCTTCCCCTCTGATGTCACAACCCTGGTGTCATTCGCCACGGTCTGAAATGTTTCGACGGCTTAAACCGGAATGGGAAGGCAGGGGACAAAGAGGGTAGGATCGAAGCACAGTCACGCATAGCGCCAGGGCCGCAGAGGGCTCACAGGCTCAGGTTCCTCTCTTCCCCCTTTGCTGGGGACCTTACTAGACTGTGCTGCAGTCCCCAAGTGCTCTGTGTGTGTGTAAACCACTCAGAAAAATAAGCAGGGAAAGGGCAAAAAAAAACAACTCATTGCTCAGTGACCACTTGACAATTTTATAGCCAGCTGCAGGTATTAAAAATCCAAATCCACGGCCCTAACTGGGCTGAGCTAAAGGCTGAACATACAGTCCCTACAGGACAGACTCAGGCCTACATTTAAGCTTATACCAAAGTCCACTGCTTTAGGATGAGCCTAGGCTTATATACATAGTTCTCTGTACCAGGCTGGGTTTAAGCCTAAAGCCTGGACACTTATTGCCCTTCATCACAATGGACCTTAGCCTAGTCTCATGCACCAGAAAAGACAGCCTGGCCTTCACCTTTTAACCAAGCTCTATGATGGGCACAGACTAAGGCATAAAACAAGCCACTGATCCCTGCAACAGCACAGACTCAAGCCTCACACTCAAGCACAGGTTGATGGGCCTGGCATCAAAATATTGTCTACATACAAACCGGATGCCTGCCATTGCCGTTGTCCAAACTCATGGTGAAATACCACACATCGCTTTGCTTAATAAGTTATAAAAACACCATTACATTCTTAAAAAATCCTCCACAAGATTCAAAACTCTTCAAGGAAACATCTTAGTATCTCAGCCATCATCATTCGGCCCCAAAACACAAGCGGGTCTTCATGTCTCCTCTGACCAGCCAGCTTGTACACCGACAGAACCACACAAGACATGATGGGACGTGCCATTCATGTTCACATAGCTTATACAGTCAAATATCTTTCCTTCCAACACTCAGGTCTCAAAGGTCCAGAATCCCAAAGCTTCACTTGGTTTTAGCCTCTAAGATTGCGTAGTCTTAACGTTCCAGATTGAGGCAGAATTTTTGTCATGCTCCCAATTCAGTCTTTACTTCACTGCCAATTTTCTGCTGTTCTTAAAAACAAGCGACTACCAAATGAATAGTAATCCTTGCATTTGGTATAGCACCTCATCACGACACTGAGACACCTCAAGAGCGTTTCACAGGATAAACTGTACTGTAAAGTGGAGTGACTGTCTTTTGTGGGCGAAACGTGGCAACCAATTACGCGCAGCAGTGTCCCAGAAACAGTCGTGGATTGAGTGACCACATTTTTTTTTGAGGGATTATTACTACCGGAATGAAGATTCGCTTCAAGAATAAGGGTCTTAAGGCTAAAAGTCACGTGGAATTTGGGACCCTGAATGACAGCCCATTTCTCTTATATGTCACACAGTCACTGGATAGTTATTTGATGCAACTTTAAAAAACGAACAAACACACACACACACACACAAGTCAGAAGTCCAAAGTGTCAATGCTCAGAAGCCACCATTTCCTTCCCATTGGTCAGTAAGCCTTCACGATATCCAGTAGAGAAGTCCGAGGGAGAGGTTAGCATTGGAACAGCTGAGAATAGTTACTTCCCCTTTAAAGATGGGCCATGTTTGTTTGAAGTCTGATGAAATCTCGAAAGATTTTTTTCCCTTCCTCTTCTGAACGTGATAAATTGTACTGGACTGCATGGGTCATGGAGGCGGTCTGCTCTTTACCTGTGCAGGTAGAGCGAAACTAAACAGCCAGCGTTCAACTGTGGAGCCTGCACTGTCCTCACACACACGCACACACACACAAAAAATCCACAGTGAGGGTGGTGTGGGGACTGGGGGTTGGAAGGCAGAGGAGGAACTGGACACTGATCAGGATCCATGGCTGATTATTTTCCTTCCTAACCTGGAGCACCGAGGCACCATTGTGAGGTTCCCCACTGCTGACTGACTGAGGATCATACTTGGGAGCTTTCTGATCTGCACATCTCTGCTCATTCACCCATTGCCCCGTCTAGGGAGACCTGATTGGAGCTCTGGCTGAGTTCAGGATGCTTCGCCATGAAGATTAGATGCACTCCACACTCAACAAAAATGCTAGTAGCTCAATCTGCTATCATTTCCGTCCCACCAAGACACTCTCTCAGCGCCCTCATAGGTGCGATCAATGTGGGGAGTGGAGCACGAAAGGTCCACGATCGATCTCAAGTGAAATATACATTGACTAACATCTGGGGGGGGGGGACAGGGGGACGACACACACACACACACTGTTCTGGAAACCCGGTTGCTTCTGGAAATGGCAGAGTTGGGTCGAGACGTACTGAACACGTCTCTCTCTATCCTTCCCGACCCCCATCAATATTCATAGAATGGGCAACTCATCCTCTCAGATACAGGTGTGACCTGAAGCAGCCAACTGGGGATGTCCACTAGCTATACAAAGTGCAAACGTGTTGAAAACATATGGTAGAGATGGATCCTTCCTGGGGCAGGGAGGGAGGAGAGGAGGGATGTGGAAAGAAGAGGTAAAATCTTAAAAATAGTTCCGAGCTTTTGCTGGAAGCTTTTCCGAGCTCGGTGCCAAGGTCTCCAGAAGGTTGAACACCAACATTGAACCACTTGTTCTTCAGACAAAGAAGAAAGGTATCAGCGAGGGTCTGAGGTAAACGGTTTGACATCTCGCGAGTTCGTAACCCCCCAGAGCGGAGCAGAGCAGCCACTTGGACGAAGCTCGGATCTCGACATTCACACATGGAAACGGGTCAAAAAAGTTGAGAATTGGATGATTTTCTCTCTTCATCACCAATCAGCATCCTGCAAAGTATTTGCCTTTTGAAAAAAAAACACAAAGAGTAAAAAAAAAATACACGTTTGCATCAGTTGACTCGTCTCAGGAATTGGGGGGAGAATTCCCCCCGAATTGGCCTCAGTTTGTTTTCTCATGAGTTTCATGAGCCAGTCACCCCTATCTTCACCGAGCTCCGCTGACTCTCTATCCCTAAGCAGATCAATTTATCATGTCTTTGTTCCTATTTTCAAATGCCTTGTGATGGCCTTCCCTCTGGAACTCTCCCCCAACCTCCCTCCACCTTGCTCCTCGCTCTGTTTTTAAAAAAGACGACTAAAAACCTCCTTCGGTTGTGACCTTCAGCCGCGTCGAAGCCAGTCCCCTCCGGTTCAAGCTCACACTCGTCTTTGCAAAGAGTTTCAAGATGTTCCCATGCGTGAAAAGCACTGTATGCGTGCAAATTAGCACTGCTGAGCGAGTCAGACATTATTAGTAATCCTTCCATTTGATACAGCGTCTTATCACGTCGTTGAGATGTCTCAAAGCGCTTCACAGGATATACTGTCAAGTGGAGTGACTGTGTATTCTGTGGACAAAACGCGGCAGCCAATTGCTCACAGCAACGTGCTGTGCAAACCAGTGGTACAAGCGAAGAGCAACATCTCACCTGTGACTAATTTCTTCTTCACCAGTGATAGTCTGTATCCTGCCCCCACCAGGCAGATGTCCACCCCTGACAGGGTGCTTCCCTCGCTTGTGAACTGCAGGGCCAGCGGGGAGGGTTTGCTGGGGCCTTCGGTGACCTGCCAGTGTGCACGGAGTGATCCTTTCCCTGCGAGAGAGAAGGTGGGTGGGGGGTGGGGGGGGGGGGGGGAGGAGAGTGTGTAGAAGGTGGGTGGGTGTGAGTGAGCCACATGAGACTACCCGCCAAACCGATGCTTAAGGGTTGGAGCGTCACAAAAAAAATAACAAGGGGTTGCATTTACCCAGGTGAGCGGACTGGCCGGAGATATCTGGAAGCTTCCACAACAGCCTCTTCTGTTCGGGGTTCCTTCAGGGAGAGAAGACAGGAGGTGTCAGAGCTGTTGGAAGAGCCATTTCTCCACGAAGAGGAGACACTGATAATGTCAGAGGACCTGACCACACAAGACTGCCTCAACCAATGAGGTGCAGCGCTCAGGCACACCTACACGTGATTGGGTGGGGGGAGGCATTGCCCTCACCCTTAAATGTGATTGGTTGGGAGGCAATGCTCTCAGAGGCTGTGATTGGCTCGGGGAGGGACGGGGCAACTTCCCACGACTTTGCCTCCAATTACAAGTTGATTGGATTTCTCGCCCGAAATCCACACCACTGTGTTTCTCAGCAGATGTCAGATTAGGAATGAAATCCTGGTTGGCCTCACCTCTTCCTAGCCCACCCTTAGGTATGAGGGCAATGCCACCCTCCCAACCAATCATGTGCAGGTGTGCCCCATTGGTCCTGCCCAGCAACGCGGCTGAGATCAGCTAAACTCGGCTGAGAGCGGGCATCGAGCTTCCGAATTTCTCGTCCCTGCATCCTGCTGCCGCATGGCCCTGCTCGGTCTCCTGGGGAGCCATTTTATTAAAAGAACATGAATGGATGGGGAGCTTCAAATCCTCACCAGCTGCCGGGAGGGTGTGACTGGACCTCGCTGACCGCTCCTTCCACAGGGAGCAAGACCTGGAGGTTCCTCAGGGGAGGTCTCTCCGGCATGGCGTCCCCGTTGTACTCGTAGTCCATCACCACTTCCGTCCGTCCCGTCGCGGTCTCGCTCCGCCAGCGGGCCGCCATGTTCAGGGGAGCCGAGGGTCGTTCCTGAGGGGAAAGCTGGAGCGAGACGCGTAACAGACTAAAACAATAATAATCCTTGCATTCGGTACAGCACCTTATCATGTCACAGGGACGTCTCAAAAGCGCTTCACAGGATTTATTGTGAACTGGAGTGACTGGGCATTTTGTGGGCGAAACGTGGCAGCACAATTTTGCACAGCAATGTCCCACAAACAGCCATGGAGTGAGTGACCCATTTTATTTGGGGGATTTGTTGGCCAGGACACACAGAGAGAGAAAAACTCTCTTCTCTTTTCGAATAGTGGTATGGGATCTTTAAGTCCACCCAAACAAGCCAAGCAGACGGGAGCTCGGTTTAACATCTCACCTGAAGGACGGCACTTCCAACAGTGCAACAACCCCCCAGTTCTGCACTGGAGTGTCAACTTAGACAACAGGGTCCTAGTGAAAAAGCCCCTCTGTGCAAGTTGATTTTGCCCTTTAACACCCACCCGACCGTTCCCATTATATCATTGTCTGCATTGAGTCTCAGTATCCTGGCCCCATTTTGCGTCGTTCGCACCCCCCCACCCCCACCACACGCACACACACACATAGGGCTGGAGACGGAGAGTACCTGGTACTTGAGGAGGCTGATGTTGAAGTAAGGAGCACCTGGGTTCTGCTCCGCTCGCATCTGTAGCTGGGCTGTGAGCGCCGACATGTCCAGCCAGAAGTCCCTGCTGTTGTGATCACTCTGCGACAGGTCACTGCACCGGAGAGGACGCTCAGAAGTCAACACCCCAGGTGGCCCACCCCAGGGGACACCCCATCCACATCTGAGTGAGCCCTCACTACCCTCTTGCCCAATAGAATATCCCTTCCCCCACATAGACCTGACATTCCTCCAAGGAGAAATATCCCCCTTTTTTGTCCCGTTTTATTCCCAATCCCCTATCTCCAAAATCCCATCCCTTTCATTGCTTCCCCTCCACCTCCTCTTCATTTCCACGACTGACAGAGACCCACATCTCAGACACTGTGAGGAAGGAGAATGATGGGGTTCTCCCTGGATAAATTATTCTCTGTACTGATATTATTTGCCTCATCACACAGCAATGGCACATCCCACCCACCCCACCACTGACCTGTACAGGAGCTGGGCGTTGGGTAAGAACTGCTCGATTGGCTGAGTGTTGACCAGTCTGAAGCTGATGACCAGTGGGGCTGGATTCCCACTGAAACTGCGACCGATTCCGGCCGGGAAGGACATTGTGACGTCTCCAGTGATCTTGACAATAACACTGCGGGAGAGGAAACAGCAATACGTGACAGAGACAACAATTCACACAGTATAGGGTCGTGCTCAGCTCCGCCACCCACTTACTTATTGAAATCTCCTCCTCGGAAATACGCATTAATGCACTCTGTGAATGCAGCAGCAACAGGCAAAGAATCTTGAGAGCCCAGGGTGACCGGGCTGGGCCCCCGGGAGATACCTAGGAAGCGGGAAACAATATCATCACTTTCATGATTCAACCCCCACTTCCCTCCCTCGCGCCCTCCCCAAACACAAGGAACCCATTCACTTCTTTATTTTACTAGGCTATTGGGGAGAATTTCCACTTGGTCTAGATTTCCTCTATAAACGTTGCATCCAAAACTTGCCAAAGCCTTTTTGAATAGCAATTCACTTCTAAGCCGTTTTATCTGTACGCTTCTTTGAAGAACGAAAGGGAGAGAAAGGGAATGGAGAATCCATTGGGATTAGAATCTTTTGTGCTCAGTCGAGGTGACAGGTACTGCAGGAACCTGCCCCAGGTCTACAAAATACACAGTTATACACTTCACAGTGTATAAGACACGATATATCGAATGCGAGGCTTTTTATGAGCATCTGAAAGACAAAGACTTTAACAGGGTCAATAAATAATCTCAAGTGTTGAAGTAAGGGGCCACAGAACACATACACGCACTGATGGCTGGAGTGGAAGGTCGACTCTGCAGAGCATGGCTCAGGGATCCATTATCCATTGGAGTCAGGATGGCCGAGGGCGGCGGACTTGGAGAAACTGCAAGAGACCTAGACTGAACGAAACAAACTTGGCAGTTAGCGGGCACTCATTGCCTTTGGTTGAACAAATTCAAACAAGGACTGTTATTCTTATTGTGGTCATTATTTTACTCGATGAGACTTTGTTCTTAAACTTCACGTACTGTGTCTGGATTTCCCTGTTGAGATGCTAAGAGCTTTTTCTTGGAGTGTCTGCGACGTGGTGCTAGTGTGGGGGTTTTCTTCATGGGATTGTCGGACCGAGAACCTGGAGCAGGAGACGAAAATGTTTCAGCTGTGAAATGAGCTTTCTGAGTCAAACGGGACAAGGCTACTGCCAATGTTAATGGATATTATTTATTTACTGCATTTGTGGTTGGGTGGCACTGACCTGAAGTGGATGTGGAGTCGGGAGGGATCTGAGCACAGGGCTGTAGTGTGGAAAGGTCTGGTTCAGAGTCTGGTTCTGCAGGTGAGGCCTCTCTGTCTGTGGTTGGAGAAACACAGGGGTGGTCTGCCTCGAGATGGACGTCCCCTATAATAGGGGCCGCCTCGCTCGTCTTGGAGCCGCAGGAGGTGGCGAAGGAAACATCCTCAAAATTGGATGAGAAGGAGGTGTTGATCGGTGGGGGGATGGGCGGCGTGACTACCTGCGGTGTCCAAGGTCTGGATTGAGGAGAGGGCGAAGAGGCTTCAGTGATGGGCTGAGAGGGAGAATCTAGGCCGGAGTCTTCAATCGCCTCTGGGATGCTGGAGGCAAGTGGAGGAGGGCTCATGGACAAGGTGCTGCCGCTCACCTGATTGAACTGAGCTGGAAGGAGATAGAAGCCGTTTAGGAAGAGAAGAGCGATCTACCACAATAATGATTTAAAAAAATCTTGAACTTTGCTTTCATTCAACACCCAATATTCCACATTTCGCCTACAAAATACACAGTCAATTCACTTTACAGTATATTCTGTGAAGCGCTTTGAGACGTCTCGAAGATGTGATGAGGCAAATGCAAGGATTGTTATTATTACTATTATTATAGCTTGGACACATCTTTATCTGGTGTTTCCTGACGGACGCAAAGGTCCTAAAAAATATGCCTCACTTTGATGATGTCCTTCATGCCCTTCACCTTTAAATTGAATTTACCCTTGGCAAGAACTAAGTGCCAAAAAAAGGGCTTGTCCTTTTATGGAGAAAACCAATTCAATGGGGAGGGAGAGTGTGCCAGCGTCAGGAGGTGAGATGTATTCCATTACCTCCGAAGCCCAGCTTCTCAAACGAAGTCTCCAGAGGGGGTCCAAAAAGTGGATCCAAAGACTTCATGCCATTCTGTGAGCCAATGATTCTGTTGGGTTCAGGGCTAGGCGTGGAAACTCGGAATGTTAACCCCTCCTCATCTAGGTCAGACACAGAACCAGAATTAGCAAAGACCGAGTGAAAACAGCACCGTCAATAAACACGAGGCCGAGGGAATATTTTGCTTGATAAAGACTATAGTGCAACACTAAGAAAACAGAAGGGAAAGTCACAGAGAAATTATCTATCTGCAAGTTGACTTTGCTGTGAAGTTTCGGTCAATTTCATTGACCTGGGATGGTGGTTTGAGTGTTTGACAACCGCTGTCATGCACACATTAATACAGGCAAAGGAGATCATCACTTGTGATCACTTTGTAAGCGCAGCTCATCAAATCTCTGTGAGGGTCTTACCTCTGGCTCGCAACGTCTCTGCGTTCCCATCCAGTGAAGGCGCAGCCATTTGGACTGAATGTCCTAAAGAAGGAAAGAGAGACCATCAGAGTCAAGAACGCTTTGGGAGGGAAGAGGATCAAACGGAAAGCAGAGAGACAGCAGGAGAGGGAGAGAAAGGGAGACAGAGAGAGATACAGAAATAGGAGAGAGAGAAAGACAGACAGATAGAGATAGGAGGGAGAGATAGATGGAGCAAGAGACGTAAATGGAGGAATCCAGAATTAGTTTAAAGGTGCCATCACCATGAAATAGCTCATCAATGCAAGCCTCGGCTATTGACCAATATAAACCTTGTTCTGACCGAAGTCAAGCCCGGCACCAACCAGTGGGTCCAAATGGCCTGTTTCTGTGCCGAAGATTACTGTATTGCTCCATGTAACTTATTGATTCACTCTCGCCACCCTTCCAACCTGACCCACACTCAAGCGCGCAGGCAAACACGCTTCCTCCCAACAGACACCAGCAACGCTCTACAGCACAGCGAGGCTTTGGCAGATTGCCGAACACTTACTGGAGGAATTTCTTTTGGAAAGGATCTGTAATAAGAGAGATTGAAAAAAAAGAAATCAAGTCAGATTGTGAGATGGACAAAATCCACATCAACGCGACTTTCCTCTCTGCAAACTCCCCTCCACCGAGTTCCAACAATCACTGCAACTCAATTGTCATTCACGTGAGTGGCCTTTTTTTGGGTGCCATGTTCAAACTCCCCTCAAGTCCCAGATGGACAGCTGTACAGTGCTGGATTGGGGACCTTGGCACAATGGCACCAATTCAATGGCAGTCACCCAAGAACCTGGAAGAGTTACACCTGAACTCCAATTTTCCTTTAGCTCCAAACCCTCCCTCTCCATTCCCCAACCATGTAGCACGGAATCCCTTACGCTCGGATTGGCGGAGAGGACGATATTCCCGATGGAGGCTTTGAGCACCTCCACAGAGGCAGAGGTGTCCCGGGGCCCATCCCGCGGGAGCGCCGGCTTGATCTGCACGTGGAAACGGCGAGGCTCGTCATCGTCAAAGTCAGAGTCGCTGGACGAGCAGAAGTCGGTCTCTTTTTCGCGTTTACAAAAGTCAAGGAGTTTGAACGGAGCAGCCTGCCTGCCTGCCATTCCCATAGCACAACTCTACAATTTTCTTAGACCTGCGTCCTTTCCATCCCCGACTTCCGTTGTGGCCTGCTCAACGTGGCTGAGATTGGGAACTCCAGGGGCATTTGGGAGTGGGGTGGGAGGGGTTGCGGTGGTAGAGGAAAGCAGAAGGAGCTGCAACACTATCCTGAACACATCCACAACTTGCACTTAACTAGTGCCTTTCACCTCGATGGAATTTCTCGATATAGCGAGCGAGTGATTGTAAAAGTTAGCTCGTCAATGCAGAAAGTGACCGATGTACACTAGTAATAGCCAAGGGGCGCTTAGTGGTTAAGGCAAATTGTTGGAAAATTTAAGTAACTTTGCTCTGTATCTAACTGAGCTGCACCTGAGCTGGGGATAGTGGATGTCGATTCTCGATACAAGGACAGAAAACCTCTCTGTCTTTGGAGAAAGAAAACAATGAGGAAGAGATGACGTCTCTGAGATGTTGGTGGTGATCCACTGAGAATAAATCCCAGTGTAACGGCCATATCTGAGGACTGAGGCCCTGGCAGGTAAAATGAAGGAACGAAGGATATTGTTCTGGGTAATATCTGGTCGGATGGTGTAACCTTCCTCGTCTACCTCTGGAGAATTCTGCAAAAATACAACGTGGGTTAGAATATATCTAAACTACGGTCAGACAGCCCAGGTCGCTGAACACGCTATCTCGCTTACACCAAAATCTGGGCAACAGTAGCAGCTCCAAATAGAAACTTTCACTGAGAAAATGATTAGTATAATCACAAAGCGTGAGATCGATTCTAAACCCATTTACAAAATGGAGCTGCTTAGTTTAAACATCTCTCCTAACTGTTCGGGTCTCTCCACGTTCCCTGCCCCAGTGCAGGTTATGTAGGGGTGGCTCAATCCTAGATTCAACTGACTGAAACTAAGACCAACACCAAGTTTAAACCCAGGCCTTAATCAGGCCTATAAGGCAAGCTTTGTATTGCCTCAGGTCTAGTTTTACATTGGGTCAAAAACAACACACACACACACATATATATAAAGCGAGCATGGGCCTTACATGTAATGTCTACTTACAATTGAGTCTGCATCAGGCGAGCCCCTGCAGGAAGAGGAAAGAGATTGACTTTGAGACCATAAGCAGTCAATAAATGGGTTTGTAGGTCATGTAGACCAGAAACAGTGACCGCTCTCTTAATGTGCGTGACAGATAGACGTGTGGTCAATTGCATTAACCTGCACATTCTCTCCCCCACTTCCTCGCCACCCAACCCACAGTTGTTTCGAGCCTGTGCATTTGCCCACCAGGGCTTAGCAGGGAGCTGATGGGATCTGGATGACTCGAAGCCTTCTCTTCCCCTCCACCCACACTTCAGAATTGGGGCCCGGTTTATAGTGCCCTCAAACAGCATTCCCCCTTCTCCCATAAGCAAAGGCACGTATATGTGGAGTCCTGTAGCTCAGTGGTTAGAGCACTCGCTTTGCAAGCGAGAGACCTGAGTTCAATTCCAGGCAGAGGGCGAAACCTTGGGCAAGTTTCCTTACTCCACACAGAGCCTAATAATAATCCCTCAAACCAAAAACAATAATTAAATTGGTCATTTTCAATCTACGACTGTTTGTGGGACATTGCTGTGCGCAATTGGCTGCCGCGTTCGCCCACAAATATACAGTCAATTCACTTTACAGTGTGTTCTGTGAAGCGCTTTGGGACGTCCTCCCGATGTGAAAAGCGCTATATCAAATGCAAGGATTATTATTATTATCCCAACATGTCGGTCCCTCCGAGAGATCAGACAAAATCTCCCAGGCACAAAGTAAAACAAAAAATCTGAATAAACTCACACGGAGTCGTTGTCTTTCTCCTTCCTGGTCAGGCCGGGAATAATGAACGTTTTCCTTCGGGATTTCTTTACAACTGCATAATAGAATGAGAGTCCTGTGTTATTAACACCCTTTGGCTACAAAGTGACTTTATGCTTGTGTTTCGTGCAATGACCTGTGAGAGCGGAACATCCCAAAGCGCTTCAAACAATCTGTGACTTCACAAATGTGCGGCTCAGGGTCTGGGTTGGATGCTTGTAAGCGTGGTGATGGGTTTCCACGCATGTCCGCCACCCGGCTGACCGACAAAAAGTAAATGAATGAGTGACCCCCGTATCCTTAAAGGAGGAGGCACTCACCTTCTGGCACTGTGGCTGAATTACACTCTTCAAACTCACTGGATCCTAGAAAGAGCAATGGTCAGAGTGAATCAATGCCATATCTAATAATATTAACAACATATGATAATAATAATCCTTGCATTCGATACAGTGCCTTATCCACGTCGTTGAGGTGTCTCAAAGTGCTTCACAGGAAATACTGTAAAGTGAATTGACTGTGCATTTTGTGGGCGAAATGTGGGCAGCCAATTATGCAAGGCAGTGTCCTCAACCAGTCATTTTTTGGGGGGGAGTGAGGAGGGGATTATTACCCCCAGAAAGTGATCTGCCAATCAACCAACAACCAGGTTCCTACTTACTGCTGTTAACAGAGGCGTGTGGGGTAAGGAAACTTGCCTAAGAGTTCGCCCTGTCTGAGAATCAAACCCGGGTCCTTTTGCTTGCGAGGTGAGTGCTCTAACCACTACGCTATGGGACACTTAAATATCCACGTTCAATGTTTAAAGCAGCACAAACTCCTTGGTGTTTCCCAGCACCTTGGGACGTCCTCCCGACGTGAAAGGCGCTATACGAATGTAATTTTGTATTGTATTGTTTCACAGAATCGTGTGTTCAGGGCTGGGACAGCCACAAGTGGAGCTGCTTACCTGGCTTCTCTTTGCCCGTCCCTTTGGTTTCAGCGAATTTCCTGATCAGATCCTCCACCCGGATGTTCTCCACGTTCTGCTTGAACTCTTCGTGCACCTGAGCCGGGAAACAGAGCTCACCTCACCAGCTGCATCACACCAAGCACTTCCCATCTCTCCATCTAATCACTACTCCCTACATTTCTCCCAGTTATCCGGAAACATTGTGAGAATCTTTGCAATTCGCTGGCTTGCTCCCCAACCCCCATCACCCCTCCCCCCAAAACCGTGGGTAAGTCTGAGCCACTCACCTGGCCCACCTGGACGTGAGTGTCTTCGACCGAATGTGAGAAGGAATTAATTAACCCTTTCATGTGCCGAAGGTGACCCTCTTCAATCATCTGGAACTTCTGCTGAGATGAAAATAAGCGCCCGACACACACACACAGAATGAGGGTTAGGAGTGGCACAGAACAGCTGATTTGTAAAACTAGTCAACAAGACACACGACACAAAGGGACACACGACACAAAGGGACACAGACGCACCTGGGCAGTTTCCGTCATCTTCTGCTCAAAGTCAGCCCGGGCTGCGCTGTATTTTTCGATGCAATTTTTGTACGTCTCGGCGGCTTTCTTGGATTTGACCTCTGCCTGCGGGAACAGGCCAAGAGGAGACAATCAGACAGGGTGGTGAGAGAGTAATGAGCGAGTGAGCGAGTAAAGGGCAAACCCAGAAACATCTGAGGTCACTCTTTCTACCGTCCTTTGTTATCTGGACTTCTTGTCATCTCGTGTGTTGGAAACATGAAGAGACCCAGATACACAGCTCAAGATCATAAGAGAGATATGGGTGAAGAAGGTACGTGAGCTCATTTGATTACCCACTCTACTGTCCACCCTTTACAGCATCAAGCTCCTTTTATATTGATCCTTGATGTCTTGGCCTCAATCGCCCCTTCCTTTTAACTTGTTCTCAAAGTAATTGTGTGCCAGTTACGTAGAGAGTATCCTGGCATTCAGCCCCTTGGGACATCTTCTCACGTGAAAGGCTCTATATAAATGTAATTTGTTGTTGTTGTTGGCATTATTGCCCTCCCTCCAACCCCCCCATTGAGACTGACAGCTTTAACACTGAAGTCATCCTGAGACATTAACCGCCCAAGTGCCAGTACTTTACGATGGATTAATCACCTTGTCGGTCTCTTTCTGGGTGGCTCCTTCCTTTTTCAGCCGATCCCATTCCATCCACTTGCTGTGGTAGTTTTCCTTGGATTTCTGCAGCAGTTGGACGCTGGCTTGTATGTTCTGCACGGCTTCTAGCGTCCCAGATACCTCCTCCTTCGTCTGTGTCAGGGGAGGAAATAAAACGTGAGAATCGCAAACGTTTCATTCCAACTTTTGTTTGTTGCATCTGTTGAGTCTCAATGCTCTCAAACACAAGAGCGACATAAAGAGGGGAATGTAGTTATTGTCCTAGAACACACACAGAGTCAGTTATTGTTCGTAATAATCCTCACATTTGATACAGCGCTTTATCCACATTGTGGAAACATCTCAAAAGCACTTCACAGGATTTAACTGCAAACTGTTTATTTGTAGGCAAACATGGCAGGCACTTTGTGCACGTCAACAACACCCACAAAACGCCGTGAAGCGGAGAAGCATCTTTATTTGGAGGGATTGTTGGCCAGGACATCGGGAGAGAGAAAACTCCCTTCTCTTTAGTGCCGTGGAATTCTTAATGATCACCTGAACAGGCAGATGGCACCTCTGCTTAAGCGCTCTGGTACTCTACCCTGCATGAGGGGCTTTATATAAATGAAAGTTGTTGTTGTTGTCTCATCCGAAGGGCCACACCTCTCACGCTGCAGTAATACCCCAGCACTGTACTGGAGCATTAGATCCCAATGTGGTTCTTGAACCTAAAGCTTTCTGACTCGGAGGCGAAAGCGCCAGCACCCGAGCTGGACGTGTGCGATTTCTGGCGCCATCGGGACATTAAGGAAAGATTAACGATTGTTACCTTGCGGTGCACTTTGACCTGATCCTCGCTGAACCGGTTCATCTCTTTAATCAGCTCCTGGAGTTTGCGCACCAGTTCCCAGTGGCAGAGTGCCAGCTTATCCGAGGAGATCCGGAACACGTCCCACATCGGAGAGAAGGTCCTGCAGGACGCACAGCGTTGACACTCTGCCATTGCCACTCAATACAAACAGCAGCAATGTCCTTCCCACCAACCCCCCAGTGCAGCACTCAGAGCCGCACTGGCTTGGAAAGGCGCTCGACAAATGTAATCTGTTGTTGATGTTCGCTGTCCCCAGTGTTTCTGCCTCTGTTGGCCCACCTGTAATTGCCCAGTCAAGTCACTAGGTGGCAGTGCCTCCCAAGGGAAGATGGCCAGAAACACTTCACCTTTGGTCGCCTCCGAGTTGATGGATTGGGACCATTGTTTGGGGCCGGAGGGAATGGTGAGTGGCTGTTGATTGTAATGGTGACCTTTTATCTCTGGGGACTAGGTTCAAAACTAATCCAAACCAAGAGAAGCGTGAACCCGCGAGAGGAATTCAAACGCTTCCTTGACCTCGATCTGCTCTACCTCTATGAGCCTCCTACCACCCCACTGCCCCGGCCTCTATTCTCCTCTCCTAAGAATACGTTGGCCTCATAACTCTGCGTGGCCCCATCATTTGTGGACAAGCCATCAGCACTCTGCCTCTGGAATCTGGAACTCCAACCTCCCTCGGGTCTCTCTATGTACCTTGACACTTCAAAGAACAATTGGAACACAAGGACCAACCCGCTTGCGTAGAACGGACTCTTACCCCAGTTGAGTATTGCTGCTCACCATCTTGGCCAGTTTACACATGGACTTTGAATACGATTCCTCAATCAGGGCTCTGTGTCAGGAAGACGGGGTAAAAAAAAAATCAATAATAATGACAATCCTTGCATTTGATATAGCGCCTTATCACGTCCGCGAGACGTCTCAGAACGCTTCTCTCTTACCTTTCCCGCACAAAGTCAGCCAGCTCTTTGACTGAGATCTGTCCATGCTTCATGTTGTGATACAGTACGTCAAAGCCATTGTTTTTCTCCCCCTGTTGAAACACAGACAGGTTCTGAGATCTGATCAGCCAGGCTCAGCTAGGGCCATCCCACCCTCCAAACCATTGCCAGCGAGGTCCTCCTGTCTGCCCTGCAATGAGAACTCCTCCCAAGTCAGGAGATGGGGATGGTTTAAGACCCCCCCCCCCCCGCCCCCCACAACCACCGCTTCACTCTGGCAGTCCTGCGTTTGGAGTTTCGGCCCAGTTTTGGCTTTTTTTTTTATTTCTCAATTGAAGGTATCAGAAATTTTATGTTTGCACATTCTCACCACAAAAACTTTAGCACATAAACACTTCCTCTTCTCCTTTTCCCCCGCTTCCTCCCTCCCCAGTTGGTCTAGCCCTCTTGGTTAACGAAATGAGGATCTCCGGCTATCAGTCGCCTTTGAAGCCCTTCACAAGCCAGTCTCATGGAATCCCAGCTCAAGTTGGCTGCTTGTGGAGCATCGATGCATGCAAACTGGCTACAAATATACAGTCACGACACTTGATGGGAATAGTCTATGATATTCTCTGAATGTGATAAGCCTTGACATCAAATGTCAGGATTACTGTTATTATTATTCATCATTGAAAATCATAACATGAACAGCCAGAGTCAACATGGCTTTACGAAAGGGAAATCATGTTTAACAAATCTTACAGAGTTTTTTTGAAGATATAACTAACAGGTTAGATAGGAGGGAACCAGTAGCTGTGTTTTTCCATTCGACAAGATGCCACATAAAAGGCTGTTATGTAAGATTAGAACCAATGGAATTAAAGGCAATATATTAGCATGGATTGGAGAGTGTTTAACAGGAAGAAAACTGAAAATAGGGATAAACGGGTCCTTCTCAGATTGGCAGGATGTGACTAGTGGAGTGCCATGAGGATCAGTGCTTGGGCCTCAATTATTTACAGTCTACATCAATGATTTAGATAAGGAAATAGAACTTAATATATCTAAATTCGCAGACGATACGAAGATAGGTGGGAGATTAAGCTGTGAGGATGACCCATAGAGCATGCAAAGGGAAATAGACAGGCTAGGTGGGTGCGCAAGAAGGTGGCAGATGGAGTACAACATGGGGAAGTGTGAAGTTATTCACATAGGTAGTAAAATTAGAAAAGCTGTTATTTTCTAGAGGGGGAGAGACGAGGTAGTGTTAGTGTTCGGAGGGATTTGGGTGTCCTTGTACACCAGTCACAAGTGCAGGTAGGAAGGCTAATGCCTTGTTGGCGTTCAATGCAAATGGGTTAGACTACAAGAGTAGGGAAGTCTTACTGCAGCTGTATAAGGCCTTGGTGAGACCACACCAGGAATATCATGTGCAGTTTTGGTCTTCTTATTTAAAAAAGGACATACTCACCTTAGAGGGGGTGCAGTGTAGATTCACTGGGTTGGTTCCTGGGATGAGGGGTTTGATCTATGAGGATAGGTTGAGTAAACTAGGCCTATATTCTCTAGAATATAGAAGAATTAGAGGTGATCCTATAGAAACCTATAAGATTCTTAAGGGTCTTGTCAGGGCAGATGCCATGAGACCGTTTCCCCTGGTTGGAGAATCTAAAACTAGGAGTCATAGTCTCAAGATTAAGGGTCAGCCTTTTCGAACTGAGCTGAGGAAACATTTCTTCACTCAGAGATTAATGAATTTGTGGAATTCTCTATCCCAGAAGGCTGTGGATGCTCAGTCCTTGAACATATTCAAGACTGAGGTTGATAGATTTCTAAAGGATATAGGGATTAAGAGATAGGGGGATAGGGCAGGTAAATAGAATTAGGTTAGAAGATCAGCCATGATCTTATTAAATGGCGGGGCAGGCTTGAGGGGCCGAATGGCCTACTCCTGCTCCTAGGTCTTATGGTGTTATTGCCGTTTCACCCACCAGTGGAAATGATATGTCACTAGTCACTCTCTTATTCTCACATTTATCATTAGCTGAAACTGCCGGGTTGTGTTTGATTTTGTATAAACCACAAAAGTCTCTTCCTCCCTGATGCATGACTGCACTCGGCTTGGAACTTAACTCCTCACTGATTCCGGTAAACAACAGTCGCAGGTGTTTGGTTTGGGGGAATCTGGATCCTGTTTTATTCTGGATTTAAGTCCAGGATTCAGAGGGATTGTCACAGAGAACATAGAGAGAGGGAGACAGGGAGAGGCAGAGACACACACACACCAAATAAGAGGAAACAGTGGATAGAGAGAGTGAGACATACATACACACACACAGACACAGAATTAAAGGAAACAGTGGACAGAGAGAGAGACACACACACACACAGGCTGTTCATACGCAATTTCTCACATCAACATGTTAGCCCCTGCGAGCTGCTTGGCCTAATTGCAACCTGAACGCACAGCGCTGCCAACAGTCCTCCTTAACAGGCAACCGGAAGGCGCTTTCTACCCCAGTAACTATTCCAAACCTACCCCATAGAATGTACCCAACAACCCCCCTCCCCCCCCACTCACCCACCCATCCAAATCTACTACCCCCCGCCACCCAACGCAGCCCAGCTCCCTATTAAAACTCTCAACACAGTTTGCCTTACTGGATAAAGGATGCAGATCAGGTGGTAAAAGGCCACATACAAGTTAGACTTCCATGTGTTATTCACGGGGGTGGAGGGGGAGAGAGGTCACAGTCTCAAATTATTGAACTCAGAACCCACTATTTCTGTACGAATAATAATTCTTGCATTTGATATAGCGCCTTGTCATGTCATCGAGGACGTCTCAAAAGTGTTTCACAGGATTTACTGTAACGTTGGGTGAACAGAAACAACAAGCTACCCAGCGTGAAGTGGGCTGTATAAATGCAAGTTACAGCGCCTTATCGCCTCCTTGAGATGTCTCAAAGCGCTTCACAGGATTCACTGTAGAGATGAACTGACTATATTTTGTGGGCGACTGTAGCCCGAGGGCGGAATCTTCTTGTTAACCAAGGTAGCTTTGACTGGGGAAAGCAGGAAAAGCAGCAGGTCTGAAGCGATCAATTTCTCGTTCATTAATTAATCAGCGTGTGTAAGCCGAGACATCCTCCAGTCCCAGGTGTGCTCTTGCCACACGTCAAGATCATAAACATTTCATGACATGAAACAAAGACAAAGTGGTTTCTCCATAACAGAGACCGGTAGAGCTTCTGAGTAACTTGTCCTGAACACATAGAGGTGGGGGGAGGGCGGGTGTGGGGAGGAATAGTTTCATCCCAGCCCCTTGAATTTGAGAGGATCTCAATATATTCCAAGTTGGGATGAAGTTACAAAGAGTGGGGGCAGAAAGGCTAAAGACCCAATAGACGTAGAGCACAGTGTGAGGGGAGAGAGAGAGACAGAGCAACAAAGTGCAACAGAAGAGAGAGATCTATCGGAAGTTTTAGTGCCTTATCAACGAAATAATTCCCAATTTGACATTCAAGTCAATCGCTCTCTCTCTTCCTGCCCCTTCCCCGTCTACACCCGAGAGCACAAAAATTTGCCAAGGCGGAGGAAGACCGAGGTCCACCCAGTTTCGCCTTCCGCCATCCTGGCAGTCGCCTGCGCATGGCCGTGTCTCAAACTGTGCCCTTCATCCCGAGATACTGCTCCCGCGCTGAAATCTATCCAATTTGCTCTTGAAAGAAGAAAACAGGAAAGAGGAGTTTCAAAGGAAGATCGCCCTTGAAATCTGCTAAAAGCCCCCACCCCCACCCCAAGAAAAACACAGAGAAATCTATTTGCAAACAGACTCCGCGATATATTATTGGAGGGGGGGTGACGTGCTGGCCAGTGTGACCGAGCCCTTTGTACACCCTGAACACTGGCTCCAGTGAGGTCCATCCTGGTGCCACCCCCTCCCACACACTACAGCTATTCTTGCAGCCCTCGTAGCCAGGGCAACCCAGTTGCTTGGCAACCGGAGCGATCCCAGCGGATGAGAGCAGACAGACGCAGTGAAACACTGACATCGGAGGGAGAGTCCCACATCCGGAGGAATTTCTCCCGGCCTCCAGGCCACGAGAAGGGACGGACGGGGTTCAGGCCCCATCGCCTTCCAAGTCCGCCCTGACCATGTCATGTCATGACCATGTCATGGCTGACCGAGGCTGCCATGGCTTCCTACCCTCACCCCACGCACGGAGCGCCGGGCTGCAGGAGTTCGAGACAAGTCGGTCCGTGTTTACGCTCAACGGCATCTTGCATTTATGTAGCTGCCCCTCAAGCAGGTTAGCGCCCCAGAGCGCTTTGACATTCGAGTCGATCACTCTCGCATCTCAACTGCGAGACTCCTAAGGAATCACGTCTTGGCTCAGCCAGCAGCGCTCTCGCCTTGGGAGTCAGAAGGTTGTGGGTTTAAGCCCCACGTCTGGTACTTGAGCTCCCAGTCTAGGCTGACGCTCCAGTGCAGTCCTGTGGGGGTGGGGATGGGGTGGGGGTGGGAAATCGCTGGACTGTCAAAGTGCCACCCTTTGGGTGAGACGTCAAACTGAGCTTCCTTCTGACTTTTCTGCCTCTTCAACGCGTTTCTCCGAGAGAGAAAATACGTCAATACACTGACTTCCGACCTCCTAATCATTCGCTGCATTAAGTACTCAAGAGTTCCTGTCTATCGATTCATTTGGGGGGGGAGAAACAAAGGGTTAACGACCAGAATAAATTGGAAAATAAATGATGTCAGAGCGTCGAGGGGAGAAAGCTCATCTCCAGCAGTGTGTGAAGGAGCGGAGTCATGAAACCCTGTAACTGATCCAACTCTGACAGGTGCAAACAGCGTCCGGTTTATATTCTGAGGAATGCTGTCCGAATGCTTCCTTCCCTGGAAATTCACTGGGTGAGCTTTCAGCCTCTCTGTCCTCCCCCCGCCTCCCCCCCACCCCCTCCGATAATAATAATCCTCGCATTTGATGTAGCGTCTTATCACGTCATCGAGACGTCTCAAAGCGCTTCACAGGATACACCGTAAAGTGAATTGACTGTATTTTGTGGGCGAAACGCGGCAGCCAATTGCGCACAGCAGCGTCCC